TCAAATCGCTTTAAACTATTGTCATTGTAGTGCGTATTTAATGTGGCGCTCTACTCTGATGTTGTAGGAGAAAACATTTATTAAAAATTATATTTAATGAAGTAGAACGTGTTGTCCATATTTATTTAAAGTTGTACATTTTGATGTGACGTCACATTTCTCAACCCCCCCCCCCCCCCCACTCGTCACACATCGTCATAAATGTCTGACCCCCCCCCCCCCCCCAGGTGCGTGACGTCATTTATGGACGGCCCCTAAATAGTGGCATACGGTGTCATTCGCAGTCATGTGTACATTTGGCATGCAGTTACATTTAAAAAACAAGCTGACAAGTCTAGTACACACTTCCACGTGGGTGTTCTATTGCCCCAATGAATGCAAACAAATGGGTGGTGGTGAGCTGCAAAGTGTTGCAGGGATCGATTGGTTGCTTTACGGTATTGTCGTTGTTTTTCTTCAGAAAACATTAAGTCTCCTTTATATAAACGGTCATAAAATGTCTCGGGTATAACAATGAGTAGTCGATCAGCTCCCTTAAAAACACACACGCACACACACTACATGTGCAATAGCAGCAGCACTTATTGTTCCGCGCAAATATTAAACTCATCCGAATTTAAATCACTGAAATAACAGCGCACATGAACACGGCTACACGACTGCACAGGGTGGGCATGAAGAAGACGCGACTGGCACGTGGATCAGGGCTTCACGCAGGACCGCGAGGGACGGCGTCACCGTGGGGAGGCCTTCATCCAGCAGTGGATATACCATGTCTGACGCAAATTCTATATACACTAATTCAAGGCCGTAACCATGGAGTCAAGATTGGGGAGGACCAAATCTCCCAGGGGATCTGGGAGTCCCCCCCCCCCCCCCAGAAAAAAATCTAAATTTGAAAACTAATTTCCTGCCTAAAATATAAAAAAATTCACTAACACATGGGATGGACTTTTGTTCACAATAATGTCTACTAGTGTATTATATTACATTGCTCTGTTTTTTTCTTTTTTTACCTTTTCTTGTCTCCTTGTATAAAATGGCAAAGATTAGGGATTAATAAAGGACTTTACAGCCACAATATAAATCTATGCATTGTTATATGAAGACAAGTCCAGATATTGTGGCCAAGGTTTAGCAAATAGTTTTTTTTATTTGCATAGCATAGCAATTATTATTTTTAAATATTTTTATAGCAATATATTGGGGGGGATATTTTGAGCATATTTGAATATTGGGGGATGTGTGTTCCCCAATTTCTTATAATTACGTCCTTGCATTAATTTATCTCATTAAGATGACCCGAAAATAAAGTTATTATTCGTGTATCACAACATGTGCACATCCCTATGTCATTGTCACTGCGGAATGAACATCCGCACGCCTTTCGGGGTCCTGGAGGCTATTTGACCATACTTCACCCCGGTGGTTCAGTGCAGGTTGGTGGGTGAAGGCGGGGCGCATAGACGTGGCAGCATAGCGGAGTTGCAACAATGGATTATTCGCCACTGCCCTCTGCTGACAACCTATATAATGATAATAATAGGGGTTTTCCCCTTTCTGGCAACAAAACAGGTGTTAAGATGTTAAAACACCAAACTGGAACCTTTTACAAGGAATCAGTTTGCATTAACCACAGATACTTGTGGTGAACATGCAAACAAAAAACACGCTCTGACAGAATATGCATTGTTCTTGAAACTGATTGGTCCACAACAGAGACAGTTTTCTTTAGAGCCGAGTCTCAAACGGTGTTAGACCAGAGGACGCCAAAAGGCGAACAGCACAAAGACAATGCACTATCAGAGTAATGAGAGCTCGGGGTGAGCATCTACATCATGGGCTCTCCTTTGCCAGTACCAAAATATAATAGGGTTTTCCCCTTTTATCTGGCAATAAAACCTATGTAATGTGTGCTGGGCCGTGTAAATTATACTTTTTTAATGTTATATCGAGGGACAGAGAGGCGAAGGAGGCGTATCGTCTGCTTAATTATTTCGTTTGTCATATTTCCCATGACGGGCATGAGTATCGTGTGCTTCTGTACTACACCGAACTAGGACCCGTATCTAACAAAGTAGGAGAGAGTCCTTGCCTCTAAACATCTGGCGGTTCATCAGCATTGTTGGGTTAAGCAAACTTGAATTCAAACTAGATTCGAAGCTTTCGTGGCTGCGGGAATTACTCTTTGGTTCTTTCGGTAAAGTCACGTAGAAAATAAAATCAAATAATAATAGAATACGACGTTTCGATTGCAACACAAGCAACCGTCATCAGGTAAGAATGAATGAGAAAAAACAACATAGTAAAACTTAGAAACACAATGCAACACAACACAGAGAGCCGGACAACACAACAGCAAACACCCCTCCTGGCTGACCACGGTTCCTCCAAAGCAGTGAAGGACAGAATGTATAAAAAAATACAACTTTACTGGAGGAAATGTAATTACACTACAGCATATACAAATGACAAATTAACCGCCATCTCGCGCGCTATAAATACACATCGCCAATTACTGAGGTGAGTAATTTAGCCGCCAGTTCGAAATGACAAGTGTACTACAATGCGGCTACTTATTTCAGTTATATGTTATTTGGATCCTGCCCCAAAATTCCATGGTGGTATTTCGCTGTTGTGCCTGCGGCCTCGGGTAAACTCCGAAGTCCATTTCATCTCGACCCTGGCCGTGGAAATCCCTCAAACTCAACGGAAACGTTGCCCACTCTTTGTTTTCTTTCCTGAGCTGCTACTCTTTTTTTTCTTCCAAGAAACCGTAATACAGTAAAGTGTGCAATTGTTACCAACGTGCCTGCACAAGTATAGTGCCAGCTTCGGCTCGGCACTGTTTGCAACTCCACTGCTGGATGAGAGCCTCCTCCCACGCCTTGTGGGTAAGGCGTTGTGTCACCATAATCACGCATTGTCTCCAACAAAGTAGGGAAATGGGCACATGGATAAGTAACCACTCTGCATACGCCCATTTTAAACCTGGCCATCAGAAAATATATTTTGAAATGTAATTCTCATCAGGCCCCGAGGTGTTGTCTCAAACTCGTATTATTCACCCTATCTCTCTGGCGTCTCCGTTTACGTGCTGCGAAGAAGGCCCACTGCCCAAAATGTCGCCGATTATATTTGTTCTTACGGGCACACAGTGTTGTTTTTCCGTATTTCTGTCGAGGGTTGCGCGTGGGTGGAGGGGGCCCACGGCTGCTGCAGGGAGCCAGGGGAGACCACGGAGCGGCGCCGTGCGCGCGTTCAAGCCTCGCCGTTGTGTTCCAGCGTGGGGCGGGGAGCGGTGGCAAAGTGGTTAGCGCAACTGCGCTACGATCCTGGCGACCCGAACTCGTGTTTCTCGCCAAACTGCCAATATCAGTGGCGAATATATGCACTGTTCCTGGACCTTCCCTAGGGTCAGACTCAGTCTTTAAATAAGTACCTGCTTCGGTGTGTAAATATCAGCACTGGGGAGACAAAGGCGACCGGGCGTGGTGTTGGTCACCCATTCCTTGATGTGCTCCGCCGGCCTTCATGAGTGCTCGCTAACAGCACTTGCCTCCAACAATCTGTTAAGGCTATACGGGGGGTGGGGGGTCTTTGTCTTTGTTTGTGAGTGTACTTGCCATATACGTGTGCGCGTTGGTGAGCGTGTGCGTTTGAAAGTTTGTAAGTGCGTCCGTGCGTGGGTGTAGCGGGTGGCGAGGTGTTGTTGTTAGTGGTGAGCGCACTGCGCCACCAACCCAGGCAACTTGGACTCGATTCGCGTTCACAGCTAACAGTGACATCTGAGCCAATTCTGGGCCTCCCCTAGATCGACTCAGCCTCCAATAAGTACCTGAGTAAACATTCCGCATTGGGGAATGCAACGGGCTCGGTGCTGTCCACACCAAATCCCTCGTCCTTCCTCCCGGCTTCAGTAGGAGCTCGCCAAGATCCCTGGCTCCTAAAAAGTCTCAGGGTTACACAGGACCCTGTTTTCGTCTTGAAATGTCTGCTCGAGTAATAGTATACCGTGGATTAAAAAAAGGTTCTTGTAAACCCATTCCATAAAAAAAGGCCGGTCAGCCGAAATGTCACGATTGTTTCCCCCCTTTCAATGACAATGAAAAAGCGCCTCGGTTTTTTTGTTGTTGTTATTGTTGTTGTTATTGTTGTTGTTGTATGAACCTGCTCTAGGCGTGTGCGTGAGCCCTCGATGAGCGCCTTAGCGCGTTCCGTCGCGACCCCGGCGACCCGAGTTGAGTTCGATTCCCGCAGGTCACCTAAACCGGTCCTTGTGGGCTTCTCCTCGGTCGACTCAGCCTCAATGAGTACAGACGTACAGTACCTGCAGCGATGTGCGAACATTGTCACGGGGGAGACAAAGGCGGCCGGCTGTGGTGCTGGCCACCCACCCCCTCGTGTCCCGGCCTTTGGTGAAAGGCGCTTTATAAATATAAAATAGAATAGGTACTCGCTAACAGCACTTGCCCCCAACAGTCTGTTAAGGCTATCTTTGTCTTGTACGGGAGATAGACAAAGGAATGGAGAGACGAGACGCAGAATAATAAAAAAATACAGAGTCGCAGCAAAGAGTGAGACTGAAAGACAGAGACACGCAGATCGACAACATGGCAAGAGGGACACTGAGTGAATGACACAGGCAGACCCGTAGACGCACGTGTAAGTATGTATACGTGTAATCTACGTTCGTGGAGAGCCGAACAGACAATTTCGGTCGAGGCAGCATCAACCTCGTGCCGTTAGCGAGCGCCTGCCAATGTCGGCACGGCACAAAGATAAGCCGGTTTCACGTGGCTAATAAATCACGCCGGGACACCTTTGTCTCTCCCCAGCGCTGACGTTTAAACACCTCTCACCGGGTAGCCATTTCAGGTTGCGTGGACCTAGGCGAGACCCCCGGGACCCGGTCCGAACATTGGCCACTGTCAAGTGGTCGTCGCGCAATGCGCTAACCGCCGCGCCACCGCTCCCCCCGCACAACACGTGCGCGCGCACGCACGCACGCGCGTTGAGCGATGCCCGCAACACCACGCCGGGCCGCCGCCACTTCCTCGTCACAGGGGGAAGCGGCAAGGAGAAGTCTCTCGCGGCCCCCCCCCCCCCCGCAACATTTATTTCATTTTCACTCAGGCGCCACTGCCTCTCGAGAGAAGGGCGGATACCTCACAGCAACCAGCAGCAGCCGCCGACGACGACGCTTCAGTAGCCGCAGCCGCAGCAGCAGCGGCATAATCGGCACCAGCGGTCTGTGCTGCTGCCTTTGAGGGGCGGAGAAGAACGGGGCGTCCCGGCCAGGTGAGCTGTCTCCAGGTGAGCTGTCTCCAGGTGAAGGGTCTCCAGGTGGGAAGAGAGTGAGGTGGGGGGGGAGCTCAGCCAGATGAGGTTACGCTGACCCTGGGGTGAGAATGGATGATGTTTCAAGCCAGGTGATAAATGTAGAGGGGAGATCCAGGCAGGAGGAGATCCCGTCGGCGGTGAGAGGGGGGTTCAGGCAGGTGTGGTGTCTCCAGGTGAAGCAGGACAGTTTCAATCAGGTAAGCTCTCTCTCTAGGCTAGAAGAGAAATTAGTCTCAGCCGAGTGTTACCTAGCCGAGGTGCACTGTTCTCATCAGACCGCATAGTTGTGCGTTGGATCGTCTAATAACTTAGCTGTGGTCAAGATGTAATGTTGGTCCACATGGGTTACAGTCTGTGAGTCTACATCACTGACGAGTTAGCTGGACCTGTTTGATCCTGGAGTGATGGAACCATCACGACGAAGGTTTTTTTTTTAATGAAATCACCGCCCTATTAAAAATGTGTAAGACTGCGATATCAGGGATGCACATGCACCCCATTAACAAAACTCAACACAGTCTGCAATAGCACTGCCATAAAGAAGAAACGCATATCCAGTGTACAGTAACAATAGCCCATCTTTATAGCAGAAAGGCCAGAGAAATTGAGTGAATAATAGTTTGGAGCACTGCACCGTACACGATATCAGAATATTTTTTCAGAATGAAAATATTTATACTGGACGAATCCGATGAGCTATAAAGCTATTTTTCAAACGTCCAGAAGGGCGGGTAAGAACGTTACAACAACAAACAATACAACAAACATGACCGTAGTTTAGGGCCCTCATATAAATTAATATTTAGACTGTGGATGAACAGCCCGACATTGACCAACACCCGAAACGTAGCCTATTGTTTTATTTTAAGATTATCGACGAATGTGTTTTTTGTTTGTTATTTTATCTTGTTGCAAAATTGCCAACGCAGCAGCAGCCTCGCCAAAGTCCAACACTGGCACGCGAAAAGTGACCCATCATGAGTAGATTCGCTGCCGTGCGGCTTTGTTCAAGTTGCCTTGCTGCGTCTGCGGAATCGGTATTTAATTTTCTCGTTATTTTACAGCGCCCCCCCCCCCCCCCCCATCATTGCTGTGGCCGTGTAACGCAACCCTGCCCGTGTTTTAATTAGTAACGCGACTGGTAGCAGCGTTAATATATGGCCTGCGAGTGGGGGGGGGGGATTATTTAGTCAAATCGATCGGGATCAACGTGGGTCGCGCAACAATGGGCTCGCGCGAAGGGCCTCCGCCCTAAGTCTGCCACGGTGGGTGGATTGCAGCGGCCCTACGAGCGCCCACCTCGCATTGTCACGCCGACTCCACGCCTGTCAACCCATACGGTTTATACCACGTATTCTTGTCCGGGGAAATTGAGTTTCCAATGTTCATACGGCGTACAGCCGTTTCAATACGGGCAATGTATCTCTCGTCTGTGTTTGTGTTTCTCCTTTGTGATGGGACTTTGTATGGATGAACGTTGAGATTAATAAGGGCACGGGGTGACTAATAAGGGGTGTGCGACCTTTGAACGGCGTGGGGGTGGCACGCTTTGTGGTGGCTCTGCCGTGTAGCAGTGAGTACACAGCGTTGACAGAGCAAGCCCGTTCCACTGCTGGATGCGAACCTTGCCACGCCTTGAGGACTATTTGACAATACTTCACTGCGCCGGTAAAGGTATGGGTGGGATGCAGACATCGCGGTGTCTTTGGCTGTCCTGCCCTCTCGCTGCTGCCCACAACGCCGAGATTGTGCCTGTCTTGTGCACACGGTTGTGGTCACGCATCCCAAGCCCTATCCAGGCTCAGCCCCTGCTTAGCTTCACGGCTCTGGCGAGATCCGAGCGGGCGCCTTCTCTGGGTGATTTTGGTCGTCGGCTGGAGTCGCACGGATTCACCGTTCTTAACTAACATCAGCCGCTCATTTATAATTCATTTACGAGCCATTGTCATTTTATTTCATTATTCAATTAAATGCGTGACCCGTTAGAAGCGGGAGGTGAAGGGTAATTCAAACAAACGTGTACGCACAATTTAAAAGGCACACAATTTGGGGTGGGTAAGCAGACGACACAGGGATGGGTTAATAAATCGGTATTCCCCATTAAAATCGGACGGGGCGATCGTGAGAAACACGACGACGTAAAATGCAGTGCAGCAAACAAAACGAAAAAAAACCCCACGATGTGAAATAAATGCTGTAGAATGGACAATCCCGGGATGGAGCTGCCGTGGTGTTCATGGATCAGAATACAGGACTTGCAATACAGAGGTCATCTGCTCGATTCGATTTCCCGGCGTGGCAGTTTATAAACAATGGACAACATTTCTAGAACCACTCCATCCCCACTCCAATCCCGCCCGCCCGCCCGCCTCTGCCCATCCACCCAGCCAGCAGTATAAATGGGCTACACCACAGTTGGGGTAAAGTGTAGGCCGATATACCCCCCATTCCTCACTGCCAGGACGTCTGACAACCGTAGAAGAGTAGGCCGATATACCCCCCCCCCCCCATTTCTCACTGCCAGGACGTCTGACAACCGTGGAAGAGTAGGCCGATATACCCCCAATTAATCACTGCCAGGACGTCTGACAACCGTGGAAGAGTAGGCCGATATACCCCCCCCATTCCTCACTGCCAGGACGTCTAACAACCGTGGAAGAGTAGGCCGATATACCCCCCATTCCTCACTGGACGGGGCTCTATAGGGGCTACCTGCAGTGGAGGCCTCTTTCGCCAGCAGTGGCATGAAATTGCAAGGTCGCACATAACCTTTCTCCTCGTGTGCAAAAACATCACAACATTAATTATTATGTTTATATACCCCAGCAGTGGGTTGTGGGGAAAAGAAGGGGCTGTAATAAGTATTTACCGCATTATCACTGGAATATTTTATGCGTCTGTTGCGGCTCCTAACTGTTGACATTCCAAATGAGAAAATCGTTACAGTTGGTAACACTGCCTGCTACCCTCCCCGGCTCTGTTCTTCCTCCTTCACCTGCGCCCGCTGTGCACCGTTGCAATGTTTATTATTTACACGATTGTGTTGTTGGCAATGGACGCCTCGGTCCGACCGGATTTTGAACTGAATGTTCAAATCGAACGCACGATGCATTCCCCTGTAAGTGACAACCCGGCTCTGGGGAGCTATTAGGCCAATCGATTCGCCAATAGCTGGAGGGCAGTCATCGCAGACCTATCACTGCTACGTGTGTGTGTGTGACAGTGTGTGTGCCAGTGTGTGTGTGCGTGCCAGTGTGTGTGCCAGTGTCTTGTCGTGTGGGCCGCTGACTTTGTGTGCCAGTGTGTGTGTCCAGCTGCATGTGTGTGTGCGTTTGTGTGCCAGTGTATTTGTGTGTACCCAACTGTATTTATGTGCCAGTGTATTTGTGTGCCAGTGTGTGTGTGTGTGCCAGTGTGTTTGTGTGTGCCAGTGTGTGTGCCAGTGTGTGTGTGTGTGCAGTGTGTGCCAGTGTATTTGTGTGTGCCAGTGTGTGTGTGCCAGTGTGGGGAGCGATAGTGTAGCGGTTAGCGCGCTGCGCTATGAACCTGGCGACCCGGGTTCGATTCCCGCTCACGGCCAACACCAGTGACGATTATCTGAACCGGTCCCGGGCCTCCCCTAGGTCGACTCAGCCTCAAATGAGTACCTGGTGCGGTGTGTAAACATCGCCACTAGGGAGACAAAGGCGGTCGGGCGTGGTGCTGGCCACCCACCCCCTCGTGTACCGTTCCGGCCTTCATAGGTGCTCGCTAACAGCACTTGCCCCTACAGTCTGTTAAGGCTATATGGGGGATCTTTATCTTTGTGTGTGCCGGTGTGTTTGTGTGTGCAGTGTGTGCCAGTTTATTTGTGTGCCAGTGTATTTGTGTGCCAGTGTATTTGTGTGCCAGTGTATTTGTGTGCCAGTGTATTTGTGTGCCAGTGTATTTGTGTGCCAGTGTATTTGTGTGCCAGTGTATTTGTGTGTCAGCGTGTGTGTCAGCGTGTGTGTCAGCGTGTGTGCCAGCGTGTGTGTCAGCGTGTGTGCCAGTGTGTGTGCCAGTGTATTTATGTGTGCCAGTGCATGCGCCTGGCTGCGGACTGTGCTACGAATCCAGCAACCCAAGTTAAATTCCCGATCACGTTTTAACATCGATGCCGAGAATATTTTAATCCAGTCTTCACAGGGCATCTCCTCTACGAGCTGTGGTTTGTAAACATCAGCACTGGGGAGACAAAGGCGGCGGGCGTGGTGTCGGCCCACCAAATCCCTTCGTGTGCCGATCCAGTCTTTCGTAGGTGTCTCGCTAACAGCACTTGGCCCACAGAAATCTGTTCAATGCTACATGGAGGATCTTTGTCTGTGCCCGGCTGTGGTGGCAGGTCGTGCCTGTGCACAGAGGGCTCGATTTGGATGAAGAATGGGCTGTGCCCAGTCCTCGCCGCAGCCCGGATTGGACGATGGAGATGGCAAGAAGGACAAGGTACAGATCAAGGCGCCGGGGGGTATCTACGTTCGGGACCCCACGTTACGGCCGCAGGTGCCCTGCAATGCAGCACACGCACAGCACACACTTCACACAGTACACAAAGAGTTCACAGAGGTCATACACTACAAGCAGTTCACACAGTACATATAGTTCACACACATAGTACACACAGTTCACATGGTACACACATTTCACACAGTACACACAGAGTTCACAGAGTGTACACAGTTCATACAATACACACCGTTCACAAAGTACACAGAATTCACACAGTATACATAGTTCAAACAGTCCACAAAGTTCACACAGTACACACAATTCACATAATACAACAGCAACAGCACACACTTCATAGAGTACACATAGTTCCGACAGTCCACAAAGTTCACACAGTTCACATCGTACACACACTTCAGATAGTACAAACGCACAGTACACACTTCACACAATATACATAGTTCACATAGTACTTTACACACAGTTCACATAGTACATGCATACAGGACACAATCAATACACTGCACACACAGCTCATATGGTACACTCACACTACAATGTTAATACAATACACATAGTTCACAAAGTGCACACACTACACAGTTCACATAGTACACACAAAGTACATCGTTCACATATTACACACAGTACACACAAAACACTCATTACACTATACACACACAACTTGCATTACGCACAACACACTCGTTATGCACAGCATGCGCACAATCAGCACCTAACACATGCAGCACATACACACAACGCACGCGCAGCACACTCATTACTAAAGCAACAGACGCAGTACGTACATCACGCTCACTGAACATAGTGCACACAGAACACACGCACTGGACACACGGTGCACACACGTGTGCGTGTGTGTATGTTGAACTTCTTTAGCACCGTACGTAGCCAACCGTACTAATCGGAGGTGCGGGGGTAGGACAAAGAAATTCAACACAAAAAGCAGTTCTAAAAAAAAGTTAGTTTTCAATCGAGCACTAATTGGGCGTACACTTTGCAGTCTCAAATTTAATATGTCAACCCGAGTTTATCGCGACTCAAATGGCCAGAAATATAGTTTGCTAGTTACCTGCTGTCTCTCTAAGACAAGTAAAAATGTATTATTAACCAGGTGAGAGCTCACTGAGAAACTCGGTCGGTTATGCGGGCAGAGAAAAAGGGGGAAATGCAATTACACGCAGAAAACAGGAAACTCAAATGTGACATGTCACAAATAAACCCTTAAGCTACAGTACATCGAGAGTAACTTCCTGCTCAACTGAGAACTGAGCCGGCGCTCAGCTCCTGTTTTACAGCCCCGGTTTATAATTCCACGTTGATATGGCGGGGGTTGAGTCCATTCATTGGACAGCCACTCTAATTTTTTCCCCATATTAGTTGTTTGTTTTATAGACTCCGGAGGAATTATGAGGCTGAATCAACCCCGAAACCCAGTGATTGCGAGCCGATCGCGAGCCGCCCGCTCAGTCGAACAAGCCACCGGACCCCGTTAACTATCAAGAGCACATTCAAACCATCGGTCGCAGACATGGACAATGAACACAGATGCGGTTCAAGAATCCGTACAGCTCAGATGTGGCACAGGGGTGACCAAAATAGCATTTGCACTGAAAGCGCCCGACCACTGGGTCAGGTTTTATTGAAAAAGGACTTATACCAAGAGGACACACTCGTTCTATTTGAGAGACGTAGCATGATGATGATTATCATCATCCCCCGCCTCTCTTTTTCTCCTTTACGTTTGTTCCCCTCGCCTCCCCTTCCCCAAATAAGAATTCTACGCTCTCGCTGCTCGCAGTCCCCTACTACGTGAGTGAGGCAGTTCCCCCCCCCAACATTTTCTCCCCATTCCCAGAACCCAGGAGAGCACCGAGTTCGTACTTAGGTCCGCGGAAGTTCTAAATTCCCCCCTCGCCCCCTCCCTTGTTACGGTTCGTGCCTTTTACCAGACTCTTGTCAATTAAAGTAAACAATAAAAAAACACTTAACAAGGAGTTTATTAACAAATAATAATGAAGATTGAAAATATTACTACTTATGAAGATTACTTAATGAGGAGTAACTTCAGGGCTTTTTGAACGCTTCCGTGGGCTGCTTCTACTCAGATCGAAGGGGCTACACCCAGCCCGTGATGATGGGCGCTGCCATGACGCGGTGGTGACACTATCAGAAATATTTGTTCTAATTTATCATTATTACATACTCTTTGGTTCTTATTATCATTGAAAAAAACAATTTATTTTCTAAAAATTTTTTGTTAAACTATTTTTTTCTTTTTTTCTTGGACACGTAACTGTGACACGCTTAGCTAAGTGTGAAGTGGGACCCTAAAAGATGAATTGCGTAACTGCGAATTCGCGCTATGGGGATGGGGGGGGGGGTGGTACATTACGCAAGGGACACCGGTACATTACCACATAGGACAACACGTACACAGTCACATCGGCGAATGCTTAAGATACTTCCAAGTATTACACAAGATTTTAAAGAGCTTAGTGTGTCCGTATTTTTTACTTTTTCCACACCGTAGTAGCCAACCGTGTTCTTAGATTGTGATAAAATGTCCAATTGTACCATACCTGTCAACCCCTTATCACTGCCTCCTTTATTACAGACTAATTCAGGGCTTATTGGTCACCCCGTGACCTTATACATCTCAACGTTCATCCTACAAAGTCCCATCACAAGGGAGAAACACAAACAAATCGACGCAAATAAATGTGCCCGTATTGAAACGGCTGGACGCCGTATTGGAACAGAAAAACTCAATTTCCTGTACAATAATACGGGTAAACCGTATGGGTTGACAGGTGTGTTGTATTCATTATACAGCCACGAGAGTAGTAGTTAGTGTGACCAGAGTCTTTAAAATAACATGTTATATTTAATGTTGTGGCGTGTAGTGCTTTGCGGAGTGTAGTCATCTGCGCTGGGGAAGTGGCACCGAAACACACGCGTGTATTTGTGCTGTCCACTCCGCTCAGGGAGGGCACCACCACAGTGCCCTCCTCCATGCTCACACTCACGCGGAAGTGTCAGAAACACGACGCAGCGACGCAAGGCGCCAACGCCAACCACCGCATGGCGCCGATCTCCACTGCCACTGCAACGTCCCACAGCGGCCACCCCCTCACCACCACCTCCCATTGTCTCGCGTAACTGCGTCTGCCCAGCCTCTCCTTCCTGGCCCATTCAGGTCTGCTCACCAGAAATCCGGTGCTAATTATAGTAGCGGTGTATTCCTATGCACGGAGTGGAGCAGTGGCGCAATGGTTAGCGACGTGACTTTCATTCCACCAGTGGCGAATACTGTACCTGAATCGGTCCCGGGTCTCTTCGCTTCAGCATCACGCATTGACCACCTCCGATTACCACGGTTGGCTACTTGCGGTGCAAAAGAAGTTCAATAAACATTCATACGACCAGCGTGTCCCTGTCCTCACCCCTCCACGTGTGGGGGAAGGATTACAAACTAAACACAAAAAGCAGTTCTAAAGAAATTAGGTTTCAATATATATTTAAAAGTGCATAGCTCCAGTGATGTTCGTGCAGTTGACACTCTGGCCTTGTTCAAGCCAGTATTTGAGGCTCATGTTTCATGCGCATGTAGCTAAAAATGTGTCAATATTTTTCTTTCTACGAAGCATCTGGAGATGTGGGTGCATTTAAACGCTGAAGAAAAGGTAAATTGTACAGGAACAGCCGTTTCAATAACCGAATCTTCTCTAGTCGCGGCATGTCATTTTCCCAAATGCTGTCCCTCACTAGCGTGTAACGCATATCTTCAGACACCGTGCGTCCAAGAAAAATTGTGTGGTGGGACACTTCGATGCGTTCCAACTCTGGCTGACGCCTGATGAGGCTGGTTGTAATTACCGGCGAAACGTCATGGTACTCGAACGGTAAATGTTCTGGGTTTTACTTTCTAACACACCGATGTGCTGAACTAGTATTGAATTGGCATGTTTTGTTTACGTTACATACCTCACTAAGCAACTGTTGGGTGGTGGCAGGTTTAACGATATATTTGCGTGATCTAATCCAAAAAACCTCTTTCATGGAATTCCTCCTCGTGGGATGTTTGGAGGAGCTCGTGGAGTTTCACTGAAACGTTTACTCACCGTTGATTTTGTTTTCAGGGAAACGGTCTCCCCACGTATATAGGAAATTCTTCCACGCGCAGGCTTTGCCCCGTGCCTGTGGGATGTGAGTGCTGTGGCAGGAAAAAAATTGCTGCCTGTAAGTTCGCTGCAGGAAGATGCCCACTTGTAAAGTGGAACATGGACTGCGTTCCCTAGCACAGCGCCATTAGCGTTATTGTCTGGTGATGCCGCAGCTCCCGAGAGCAAAGATTAAGGTCATTTTATTGCCATTTCAAAAGGAAAATGTTGGGCAAAAAAAATGAGCGCTTTACACTATGGTCATATTATAGAAGTATTAGCGACAAAGCGTGATCATATTTTACTGCTTAGTTTTTCGAATTGTATTCTGTAAAAATATTCAGCATTTTTGGGCGATTGCTTTGAGATCGTAAGTGCATTTAAAATTCCATCCTGATAATGTACTGCATCACGCTCGCAATTTGAGTAAAACATTCATGCTTTGATAATGACATGTCTTGTAAAATTAAACACATTAAATATTTCCGTAGCACCAAAAAAAACCGGGAACAGCAGAGAGGAAAGGAACGACGAACGGCGTTAGAAATGTTGGTGGTGGTGGCGGTGGGAATTCTAAACAGTTGCAGGGCCGATGCGTGTTATCGTGCAGACTGCAACTGTGAAAGTGGCTGTACTTTGGCAGTGAGCACTGTTGAATTTACCGCGAACACGCCTGACATGTCCAGTATATATATTTTTTTATTTAAAAATGCTGTCACAAGTTAAGATTAGGTCGAATGGTCCGTGGAGGTATCGAGTTACGGTGGGGATTTTTTTTCACATGGAAGGCAGGTTGTTAGAGGTACAGTGCTTGTGGGGGCTTTCTATAAACCCCGGGCCACTCTCCTTTCAAGAGGCGCAGACTCTGGGTGTGTGCAATGGTTGCTACCTCTCCTGGGTTTTTATTCTCTCAGTCCCCTCCTATTTTTGAACTAGCTGTCCTGGGAGATCCGTCAATCTTCCCAGGACATTAAAATCTCCATGTTTTGTCAGTCGTGTCACAATGCATGTATCAGACAATGCATCCACGTGTCGTTCTGCCCCCCCCCCCTCTAGTATCATGAGATATTCTTATTATTCTTCCCATGATTGTGTGCTAAACCAAGTATGTGTGCCTCTCTCTATTTTGAGTTCCGGCTGTGGTGTGGATGTTGGCATCTTAAGGGAAGACTGTACAGGTTTACATATTTGCGGGCCTCTTAGAGACGTATGGACTCGGTGTGTTTGTGGCTACACAATGAGCCAAGTTCTGACCCAGCGGCACGAGCAATGCCTTTGCTGGTTAGCTTTGCACATGGTCCGATTAATTATTTTAATCAATTTGTTTTCACGAGGTTGTCTCATTCGAGTGCTCCCCATGTGTTAGTGACACGGAATGGACTGCATTATGCAGCGTGGCTAAACCGTCCACACAAAGCCCCGCTGCGCTGACGCCTTCGCACACACTCGCCGCATCTTTTTGTTTACAAAACCCACATTTATATCCGTGCTAGGCACACACGCACACACACAGGGCTAAGCTGAGCGACGCCCCATTCGATGATGGTAGAGGTAGTCCCAGCCAGGCATTCCATCCAGGAGACAATATTCATCATTGTAATTCCTCAAACTACGCGGCTTTGCCTCTTGCTCCTATCGTCTCCAGGGTCGACTCTTGCAAACGACAGTCATCCTGGTCTCTTGAGTTCTCACACCTGGCTGAAAGAAAAGACACTTGGCGACCTTCATAAGTTTATCTGCTGACCTTGTCCAAGACACGTGGTCTCACTCTTATCTGATTCGCCGTCGCAAGCGCCTCGATTCCGCAAGGTTCACGTTGCGTTGTCGGCATTGGGCCCGTGATGAGCTGCAGTGCGCGCACGACTCTACGCACACTTGAAACATCACAAATATCTGCCCGCCGAGACAGAAATTCACGGACGCCACTAACTGGGGTAGCAGGAAACCGGACGGTTTAAGTTTTATCTTGAAATGTGATCGTTGCCCCTCTGTAAATATTTTTCGTGAACTGAGAGTTCACATTTTTGCATTTGCATTGCGCTTTGCATGGCGCGCGTTCGAGGAAACTGGCCCCATCACTCGCTCGCTCTGTCACTCACGCGTTTTCCACTGCTACCCCCCCCCCCCCCCCGTAGTCTGGCACCCCCTCCCTCACGTGCTCGCATGTAGACGCCACGCACATCCACAGTGTACTGGCACAACTTGATTTTCGGTGTTTTTTTTCTCCGTGCCGTATTGTTCACCCGATGTTTGGCGCAAGCTAAAGTGTGACCAAATCACATGTGGCGTGTCTAAGAATTTATACTCGTGTCGCGACGTGGATTTCGAGGGCTTCTGAATGCAGCTGCGTTGCCTTAAGACGCTGTACAAATAGGTCAATGCGTAAATCACGATGACCTCAATACCCGTATACGTGTAGAAGCTATTTTTAGAAGAAACAAGAAAAACAACATTCGAGGGGTATAAGTTGAGGGTTGACATGCTACAGGGCGAGGAATCTGGTGAAGGTGCAAATGAAGACACTGAATAATATCTCGAGAAGGTGAAAAGTATGGGTTTGGGCCTGGACTTGAACACGGGCAGAAGGTTACCTGTGGATCGACAGAGGCCTGTCGTTCCAGACAGTGGGAGCAACAGCAGGGAAGGAGCGACCTCCCACTGAGAGGAGGTTGCTTGGGGACATTGGCACAAGCACGTGGATGGGGAGTAGAGTGAGATGAGAGGGGAGAGGTAGGTGAGTGCATGGAAGGAGTAGAGTGAGGTGAGAGGGGAGAGGTAGGAGAGTGTATGTAGAGAAGATGAGTGAGAGGACAGGTAAACAGGCGTGGATGTATGTTGGATCTTGGAGACGGTGTTGATTGAGATTGGATCGGGAGCCATCGAAGGGATTGGAAGTACAAAATCGGGATGATGTGTTCTCATTTATTGGTGCGGGTTATTAAACCTTTACCTTACTGGGTGGGGGCGATGAGTTGGTCTTCTTTCGTGAGTTGCAGGATCATTCCGAGACTGTCGCCGTTTTTTTTTTAAGTGCTCTCGTTTCCCGGTGACAAACCGTGCACACGTGGATAGATTTCCCTTGAACATATTTGCTGATTGAAATGCCTCGTTAATAATGCGACTGCGCCGTTCATTTTTAGAAAAGAAAATTGTTACTCACGTCATATGTTATGCACATTAATAAGTCTCTAAAGTGTGTGCTGGTGAATAATTAATACCGGACATCTTGTCAGTTTAATATCATCGCGATGCTTTGTTGAACTCTTGTGAGCTTTTGTCTGCCCCAACCAAGTAGGACAAGGCAGTGTCTGGTAACATCTGAGTAAGATCATTATTTTGCTGCTTTGGAGAGTTGTGGATACTAAAGTAATCAAGAGACAAGGATTCATTTTGTCGCCAAAAGTGCATTGAAGTTACACTCACGTGCACCAACCTCTGGGCCTTTTGGACTAGTGGTTTTTCTTCCCAGCACGATTGGTTTAAATACCAAAATCTTCTACTGTATGCACACAAGTTTCAAGTCGTGGACATGCATAGTTCTTCGATGTGTTTATCGGGTTGTTTCGCGTTGCTGTTCGAATTCCTCAGAAACTTAATTCCCAGCCTCTGGAGTGAAACGTCAGACATCGTGATGAATGTCACGCGCTAGAACCGAAAAATACATCGGAGCGCTGTACAGCTCGATTAAGCAGTGGTGAACGTAACGGTTATTCAATTTTTTTGGCCAAGATTCATATGCTTATTTGTTTGTTATTTCTTGACCGACTTCATTAAGACAGTGTGCTTTGCAGTATTTTCAGTCTTCTTCTTTGGTTCTTTCGGTAAAGTCACGTAGAATGAGAATAAAATAATAAAATAAAATAACACAGTAAAATTCTCACGACGTTTCGGCCACAACACAAGTGGCCCTCATCAGGTGAAGGGACCGGACTGTCCAGAGGACAGTGTTGGAGTGAAGACAGCCAAGCCCAGGTCGCGTCCTTTAAGCTCTGTGGGAGGAAACAAAAAACGCCTTGACAAAGGAATTAGCATAACAATGATGTACTGGTCCAGCACGGTGGGGGTGGGGGCGGGAAGGAGTTTACATAATGTTGGTGTGAAGGGAAATAAGTGGCTGTGAAAGTTTGGGATACCACTACTTGAAAAAATATACTGTACCATTGAAAATTAGTTTAATGTTTGGTTTGATTTAGAACATCTTTCCAATGAATGCTTAATTTGAAACCATCCTCTCGGTTGAAATTGCGTCTGTGTTTGTAAATCTGAATTGCCTCGTGGACAAATCTCTGATAAAAAAAAAACCCGTGGGTTTGCAGAGAACCTTGGTATCGGAGAAAACTATTTTAGGAAAGGCCCTCGCTGTGGGCCAGCTGGGACAGATGAATGTGCCGAGAAAGGTTCCGCATTAAGATAACGCGTAAACATTTTTTGAATGTCCCTTTACTGCACTTGAACAGAGGTCCTCAGTGTTCACGGAGTGCTCTTGCACATAACACAAGACAACCAGGCAATGATATCTAACAGATTGAAAACTCATTTATTTTGACACTTAGGCTTTCACGAGCAATGTTATTAATAATAAAAAAAATTTTTTATTAGATCACAAAGTATAAATGTGTCGTTAATCCGGCACCACCCAACATAGCCAATTAGTAAGGTTTGTCATATAAACAAAGCGTGCCAGTTAGTTACTCCTTCAGCCGGTGTGTTGGAGAGTAAATCCACAACATTTACAATTACGCCAATTCTGGAAAAATTGCCCGATGATGCTGGATGTAATTACCAGCGATACGTCGTACTCAAATTGTAAATGTTGAAGTAGTAACTAATTGGCACGTTTTGTTTACATGAAAAACCTATAATTAGCTGTGTATAGTGCTGGCGGGTTAACCACACATTTATATTTATGCGATCTTACAAAAATAAACTTTATTATGAATCATTTCTTTAGAACTGCTTTTTGTGTTTAGTTTGTTGACCTTCCCCCGCACCTCCGATTAGCACGGTTGGCTACGTATGGTGCGAAACAAGTTCAACGTATACATACAACAGGTCATGCCCTGCTGATGAGATTTAGAAGTGAAAACAATTTTAAAGCCCGCCTGCGTAAACAAATGCTGGTGGAAAACATTGGTCAGGAAAAATCTTTTGGCTGGGGGAGCAAAGTGTCATTTAATTTTTTTGGCGGTCAAACAGCCCTTGGCGGTTTATTTATTTAAGATTTCCGTAAGCACCGGTGTGTGTGTAACAGAGGCTGAACCAGCAACTTCCTTCGGTAGTGGTGGAGGGCTGTCCCGTAATGTCAAGCCTGTTAAATAGGACCCTACATTAATAATAATAACGATATATAAGATACCAACTTCCAGGGTCTTTAAGGTGCGGGATGGGATGGGTGGGGTGGGTGGGGGCGGAGTTCTAATCACTTACAGTGGATACATTCTCAATGTAGAATTGAAAGCGTTAAATATATATAAAATATCTTTTGTTATGGTTTTGGAAAATTCCACAGTGACGATTGTGCATCAACTAACCAGCTGTGAAGCGGACTGTGACCGTTCTGTGAACTTTCGTTTCAGAAGGAACCGTCTACTGTGGACGTCACCCTCCCAGGGATGCGTGAGCCTCCAGGTACGTGCCGTTTAATCTCTCTCTCCCCGTCAAATTCTGTAAAGTTACAACTCGGTTTGTTTTAACGATAAAGCCAGTAAACCCTTTACAGAATCGGTCGCTGATTCCGAGTGTCGGGAACTGGTCATCGATTCCATTGGGACTTTCGTCACGGATTCACTGATTGACGCACAGTCCACATTCAGGGCAGTGCAAGTTTTGCACGGCATGTGGCCCAAGAGCCTTTACTTTGAGGGTGTTATTTCCCCTGTTGAATACAATCATTTACTTGGTGAAGCATCAGCAGAGGGAGGGAAACCACTTTTACCTTGCTGTCAATGAGTAATTATCACGTATGATTGCACCAGTTTTCACAATTCAGACAACTTCCTGATGGTGCTGGTTGTAACTTCCAGCGAAACATCCGCACCAAATTGTTAAAAGCTGTGGATCTCTCTCCAACGATAACCCACCGGTGGCGCTGCTGAAGCAGTAATAGATTGGCACGTTTGTTCACGTGACAACTTTGTGAATTGGCCTTGTCGAGTGGAGGAGGGTATAAGACACACATTGTTTTAATGCGATGTGGCCCAAATATCTATTATGTATAATAATTTTCGTCGTAAAGTACAACGTGTTAAAGCTACCAATGCTGATAAATTATAAACACGTAGCAGGGTTATTAAAAAAACTCATTTATTGCCGTTCCATACTCTGTATACCAGATGTCACTTAACCATATCTTAGAAGTTGTTCTGTGATGTCCACTTCCATGAGCAATTCTCTAACATGAAGCCGGGGGTGGGTGTTACCACTCTGCAAGAGATCCCAATGGAGTCTTCTTATCGTGACGCGACACTGATCGGGGATAAAATTGGGAAATAGACAACAAAGCGTGGCACTCTGGTGGGGTTGTATTCATGCTGCTGCCTTTTGCGCCCTACTCCCAGTCACTGTGCTCGTTCCTTTCCCTTCTTGCTCCCCTTCACTGGAACATATTCCCACCGCATAATAAAACAATAATTCTCACTCACGTGGTTTCCGTTTCTCCCTTAAAACACTTAAAACAACCACCATCTCATCTCCCTTACCAATCCTACGACTGCTACTCCCTGCCCTAGCCCTGCAGCTACTAGGCCTACCCCAACCCCTCCTTAACTTTTCCCGTCTGTCCTCCTGTCACCATAACTACACTACGTTTAATAACCCCACTCTCTATCTCAACTCACTATCATCTTATGCACAACTCTGTAATTGCTGTAAAGCTCCTTGGAATAAGGCACTATGTAAATGTATATAAGATAACATCCAGCTGTGTTGACGTTTGCGGTTTTATCATTCGCAGCTGAGCTCGTGGTGGCCTTATATGACTTCGAGCAGCTGAACCCCGACGACATGGGCTTCAAGAAAGGAGATAAAATGCGAATCATCCAGGAGTAAGTTGGCGCTTTGCTCTCCTAATGTCGGCAACCAGGCACCCACACCGATAGAAACACCCCGCGCACTCTAACGCACCTACACGTCGCCACACTGAATTCTAGCGATGCACACGCAGTGTGCGTATGTTGCACGTATGTTGAATCAGAGGTGTGCGGGGAAATTGTAGAGCAGAGTGCATCTGCTCGTTGCAGAACTGCAACCTTCGGCGGGTAAAATGCTGCACCACTTTATCAATGAGTGCAACAATTAATTATGACAGTACAAACAATTAATTGCACAGTGATTATGATGCTTTGTTGTGATTTCATACCGCGCGACATTGAAATTATGTAAAGTCTTCACGGTTAAATCAACCGTTATGAATGAGAATGTTGTTATTAATGATAGTTTCTTCTGTTTATCCAAGGAAACCTCAAACTGATACTCAATACCTTTGTTTATCAGGAGGATCCTGTTATTTTTGAGACGTTTGGCCAATTTCATTCGGGAGTTGTTTGTTTTCATGTTGGAGGAAACTGGAGTATGCAGACAAAACGCCCCACGTGTGCAAGGGGATAACAAAGGGGATAACAAAGGGGATAACAAAGGGGATAACAAAGGGGATAACAAAGGGGATAACAAAGGGGATAACAAAGGGGATAACAAAGGGGATAACAAAGGGGATAACAAAGCTTTGCATGGTTCGGTTCAATGCTGTACTACCATCATCATGCTGGCTGATGTGACAGCCACCTCGCAACCCGGTAGGTTTGGGAGTTTTAAAGATCGTGATCCGCCCACCCCTTACCTCCACGATCCTGGGATCACAGGATGGGCGCGCGCCACCACACCGGACTGTGCGTGCGTGCAAGCGCGCGTCTGCGTGTGTGCACACAGATGTGGAGGGAGCAAGCACCACAAACCCCGCTGCCCAGTTCCATTCCCACTCACGACCAATAACAGTGGCGAATTTTTTTTTTAACCGGTCATGGGCCACTTCGCAGGTTAACTTAGCCTCAAATGAGCACCTGGCGCGATGTGTAAACATCACCACTGGGGACACAAAGACGTGGTGTTGACCACCCATCCCCACGTGTGCTGTGCCGGCCTTCAGAGGTGCTCGCAAACAGCACTTGCCCCAACAGTCTGCTAAAGGCTACACGGGGGATCTTTGTCTGCCTGTGTGCGAGCGTGCGCAGATGAAACCATTGGCTGTATTTTACAGTACGAGCGGGTGGTTGCTCAAACGCAAGCCGGCTGCCAAATCACTCAATTACAGTTACTGTGGCTAAAATGACCACCGTGGTTACTGCAGTGTTTTAAAACAAGTCGCCATTGATCCAATTCCTTTTCGAGGACCTTGGGAGTGATAGGAGCGGGCGTTTTGGCTTGCTTAAGCTTGACGCGTGTCAGTGTCCGTGTACATTAGGCTAATGTACACGTGCGCACAACAACAAAAACCACAATCGTTGCACTGCAGAGCGAGGCCTCTTCTCAATGTCACTCTCGGCCGGCCCCAGCCTTGAGTCGTGGGCGCTTGGAGGCGGCTCGCTCCGGCACCGTCCAATGAACTTTCTTTTGGCGGTCATCCCACAAAGGACGTGTCCGGCAAGGGTCGCTGTTACAGACGTGCGCTGTGCTACGAAACCCGGCGGAGAGCTGAGTTTGATTCCCGCTCACGGCCCCCACGTCAGTGCTGTTATCTAAGCCTCACTCAAGCCGACATCCTCAGATGAGCAACGGGTACGGAACGCGTCAGCGGTGTGGAGAGACGAAGGCGGACCGGGCGTGGTTCTGGACTTTTCTGGCCTTGATGTGTTTGCTCGCCGACAAACTTGCTTGTCCCGACGGTCTATGTCGCCCGTACATGGTGGGGGAATGATCTTTTGTCTCTGTGTGGCAGGCGTGGCGAGTGGTGGATGGCGGAGCTGATGGACGGCAGCCAGAAAGGATACATTCCCAGCAATTACGTGGCCAAAGCCAACTCACTGGAGACAGAGGAGTGAGCCATTTGTTTTTTGTTGTTCACTCGGTGCAGCATTGGCGTCGCCTGCCGAGGCGTTTCGCACGCATGCGCTGGACAATCACCTGGCGTTTACTTTACACGGTGGGGGGCTGGGGGCTACAGATGCATGAAGTCCAGGAATGTGGCTGGGCTGGTTCAGCTCTGAAGTCACTTGGTGTTAAATGCCATGCAAATTCAACAGTCTGAGTTGAGCGGAACAGGCTATGATTGATGTGTGATTACGCACGCGTCATCTTTAACGTCTAATTTATCATCGACGTACTGCTGCTGACTTATTGACGGATGCTTTGTCCGCGATTATGCTTATAATTGGAGAATCCAAAAGTGGTGCAAAAGATGAGCGGTTCAACAAAAGAAATTGTCAAACAAAATCTCCCCCTTTCTAAAATTCTAGTTTTTTTTTACTACCAGGAGAACGGGGGCGAAATATTTGGAATTGATTTCATTATCAGCTCGGCAAACACCACCTCACTGCCATCTGCGAGTCACAACGCAATCGATAACTGAGTGAACAACAGGGAGTGTGCAACAGTGCTCCAAGGTGAAGAGAGAGAGTGGATTGAACTGTACACCGTTCATGATCCATCCATTGCCTCGAATTGACAACAACAAACACAGCCACCGTAGCTACGGTAGAGCACCAGTGGCCCCATTAGAGCTCGTACTGATTATAATTATTTTTGGAAAGGATAATTTCAGATCAGAATAATTTGTCTTGTTGCATTTGGCTGAGTGAATGGCCACTTACAGGTCCGAGTTTCAGAGAGCCCCTCTGTGGCTTCATGCGAGGCTGAGTGAATCGCTTCTGCTGATGCTACTGCCTCTTGTTGAATTTCCTAAGTAATAATAATCATCATGCGAGGCTGAGTGAATCGCTTCTGCTGATGCTACTGCCTCTTGTTGAATTTCCTAAGTAATAATAATCATCATGCGAGGCTGAGTGAATCGCTTCTGCTGATGCTACTGCCTCTTGTTGAATTTCCTAAGTAATAATAATCATTAATTATTATTTGAAATGTTGCGCTTGCTGCATGGCCAACACAAGCGGTATTACAACACTGGCGCAGCGTGGGGTCACGCGGTGCCAATACCGATTTGAGTTAAAAAAGGGATGCTGGACGAGAGGCGATGTTGACGTTCATCCCTACCCTGTACGTGTCTCAATTCCCCGCACCTTCCACCCTTGCCTCCTTCCCCATGGTCTGCGCACGTCCGTTTGTCTCCGTACCTAGGTGGTTCTTCTCGGGTGTGAGTCGCAAGGAGGGCGAGCGGTTGCTGCTGGCGCCGGGGAACAGCATCGGCGCTTACCTGCTGCGAGACAGCGAGTCCAACAAAGGCACGGCACCCTCCCCTGGCACCCCGCTGCACCACCTACACTCACTCCCTCCCCCAAACATCGACACATTGAGTTCTGAACTCCCCTAGATAATACACACTTCCTCGTTGCTTTTTTTTATTTTACCAGTATGTAAGGCACACTGAGCTGTATAGCTTTTTTTTTTCAGAAGCGATCTGGCCACAAACGATAGCTCAACGAAGTGGCTGATCGTGTGGAAATTTATAGCAACCAAATACTAAATGTGGATGGGGAAAACCGGAGGACTCAGAGAAAAATTAACACGACGATGGGCCGATAGACACGCAAACTCCAAATATACAGGCTTCAGGGTCGGAATAGAACCCACGACCTCCTGTATACCAGGCGAGGCAGTTAACATCTTGCCATTGCGGCGAGATGAAAATAATATCAAGACTTTGTTCAATACTATGTTACATTCAGTGTCATTAATATTTACTTCCAATTGCATCTAAAACGTGGTCTGCCTTTGCAAATGTATTGATCGTACTTGCATTCTATTAGGATTAACCAATGACGATATCTGAACCTGATGGCGGGACCCCGGGGTCCCATAAGCCCCCGGCTCTCGCATAAACATTTTATTAGAATGTAAACATAAACATTCTATTATAATGTAAAATTCTATTATAATGTAAACAAAAAACTTTGTTCTTTTTCAACAATGGGTTTGAAGGATGGTGGCAAGTGTTGTCTTTTGATTTAAAGCTTTCTTGACTGCAGGGATTCATATTGAAAACTGAAAACTACTTACCTGCAGTACCTCTTTAAATACACTATCGAAACAAATATTTCCACCCCCTGTCAATCATCGTGTTTCTCAGTGTGGATTTGTGAACACACTTTGTAAACAGTACATAAAATAGTACGCGTTTTCAATGCGCTGTTCATATTGTAACAAGCGTTTATACCAATGTTACTCTACAGAGTAGTGGGTCGCCGCTCCTCTTATCCGCATCGATACGAGCGGTATGTGGGGACTATAGCTTAACCGCAAAAAAAAAACTATCTGCACAGATGCATACGGACAAGATAAGTATTATCAAACAGGAGGAATTTACGGTGCAACGCATCTCATCTGTTAAATATCTGCAGGTAATAGGATTGTCATCGATTGATCCTGGCTGCAGACATTGTTAGGTCACAAATAATAATGAAGATAAGAGAGCAGTTTCACTGTATTATGCATACCGTTATGACAAATAAAAGACTTAAGCAGCTTTAGATAAGACATCCTGCCCATACCCGAGCATGGAGTGCAATTCGCTTGTTCAGCTCTTCTGCGTATTCGTCCTCGCTGCTGCGCTTGGACACGACACGACAACAGAATGATCCGCGCCAGGTGGGCCGCGGCATTGATGTGCGCGGTGGGACGGAGTCGCCAACAATAAATTAATGACGATTTTGACTTCCGTTTATTCGGGACCCTCGGGTCCCACCATAAGGTTCATCTCTCCACCGCCGGCAGTCTGTAACTGCCCACTGCTTGGCGAGGGCCTCCCCCTCTTTTTCTCTCATTGATAAATAGACAGACGTGGGATGACCTTTGGCACCGTCTAACCGGGCAAGGGGTGAAGCTGCGGTGGTGGCAGCGCTTTGCGCACTGCACTATGGGCCAGCGGCTAGTGTGAGTGGTGAGCGATATCTGTGACCAGTGCTAGGCACCCCCCCCCCCCCTTCACCGATCCATATTCACCGGTGTGGTACAGTGTGGTTAGACATCGTCCATGACAAAAACATGCTAATGGGAATGGATTGACGAAAGGCCCGTACTTTTTTTATCTACATAGCCAAATTGAGTCTATTTTTCAAGGGGAGAGTTGGGATTAAATAAGTACAGAAAATCAGCAAAACAAATTCCAATGTGTAAACAAAACAACCGGCAGGGCAGGTGGTTTCCGGCGTCAAGGGGGTTGGATTCCGCATGCGTGAGGGAATTTGGAGAGAGTGCGTTGTGTTTCGTGGCTGCGTGCAATTGGGCTAAAAGAAAACGGCATCAAATTGGTTACAAATTAAAATTAATAACGACGTGGGCAATTCTTTTTTTAATCCGATTAAAATCAAATCTACCGATTGTGCTCGATTGGCTGATCCGAAGACACATTTGCGATTCTACCCTAAATTTGATGCCACGCTTCCTTTCAGCACGGCCAACAGAAGATAAATGTCCTGAGTGACCCATTACCCGAATAGAGCTGAAGTGCTCCTGTGTGTCACCGCAGCGATGTTGTTACACAGCTTGACGGCTGCAGCACTGGAACAGTCCGGCTGTGCACCGGCTACGCGTTGGGTTGCATTTTTACCATTACCGTGACGTGACGGTGTTTACCTCTCCGATGTGTTTTCGGGGTTGTAACCGCATCACGAAGTCCGACGTTTTGCTCCATGCGCCCCCGGGAGCTTTGTTGGGATGATGTTCCCGGCACTTGGAGCGAAACGTCGGAACATCATGCTGAACCGTGCGTGGTACAACCCGATAACATCAGAGAGCTGTACAGCACAATCGTGCAAACCCACGCAGCAGAAATCAGTTCCATTTGTTCTCTGTGTTCAGTAAGTGTCTGCCAAGCCTCAGCCCCATGTGACCACATCCACAATTGTTTCCGTGTCTCCCGCTGGTGTCTCTTGTGCTCATTCCAGGTTCGTATTCGCTGTCTGTGCGCGACTACGACATCACGAATGGCGACGTGGTGCGGCATTACAAGATCCGGACGCTGGACAATGGGGGATACTTCATCTCCGCGCGCCTCACGTTCCCAGACCTGTTTGCCCTCATCCAGCACTACACCGGTAGAGACGCTGCACGCACGGTGTCACACTCACCAAACCCTCTTGGCCGTCATTCTACTTGTAACTCAAGATAGAAAAGTAATAATTCAGGAAAATACGTAGCAAAAATTCCCCTTAAAAAGAGCATGGGTTTTTTTTCGGAGGGCATGACCTGATTTAGTGAGTGACAAATAAAATCTATTGGAGATGATTAACAGCTCAGCCTCCCACCTCGACGCCATCTGCCAGTTGCGAGCAATCAAACGGACGTTGATCGGAGGCGTACCAGAGATTGCGCACAGACTGTGTGTTTGGACGAGGTGAAGAGAGCGAGTGGGGATTGTGCACACAAAACTTACTGTCCATTTCGAATGCATGATGACTATGGACACAGTCGTGAATAGGTGCCAAAGGTACCACCAAAGCTAATAATTAACTCACAAGCCATCTTTGCCTGCGTGTGGTTATCTTACTGCACATCTTTTGCGTTGACCCCAATTCAGTAGTTTTGAGTCTAATGCCTATAACTGCTCTGAGCTCCTAGATCCACTTGGAGTAGAATGTCCACATCGCTAACAGGGTGACGTATGTATGTTGAACTTCTTTCGCACCGTACGTAGCCAACCGTGCTAATCGGAGGTGACAAAGGTATTTGCAGTGCTCGCCTTGAGTGACATTCATTCTCAAACAGTGGCCGTTTTTAATCTACACTGGGATGTGTGAGAGCGTCTCAGCATAGCGTGTCCAAAGTGAAGGAAGGGACGTTACGGGCAGCGCTGTCGATGCGCCACACACCTTGCCACCACCTCCTTCTGTTCGATCTCTTAGCTGCTACAAGGTTGACACCCGACCTCCAAGACATACTATGACTGTGTAACACCATCTGGCTTCAGCTCTTCCCATTGCTCGCCGGTCTCTCGGTGTCACTCCACCCTGCACAACACGTGTCCCACCCATCACCCATCACTTCCTCCTCCAAACTGCACATCATATGTCCCACCCATCACAACCTCCTCCACTCTGCACAACACGTGTCCCACCCATCACAACCTCCTCCACTCTGCACACCACGTGTCCCACCCATCACAACCATATCCTCCACGTGATTGCATCGACAGCAAGCTCCAGCCACGTTTAACTGTCACCCTATCCTGCTATGAAATCTGCTGATGCCACACTGCCTTTCAGCAAGGCCAACAGAAGACAATTGTCCTGAGTGACCCATTACTGAATAGAGCCAGAGCTGAAGTGCTCCTGTGTGTCACCGCAGCGATGTCGTTACACAGCTTGACGGTCACAGCACCGGAGCACTCCGGCTTAGTGCCGGCTACGCGTTTGGGTTGCATTTTTCCGTTACCGTAATGCGACGATGTTTACCTTTCCGGTGTGTTTTGCGGGTTGTGACCGCATCACGATGTCCGACGTTTTGCTCCACGTGCCGGGAGCTTTGTCGAGAAAAGCGTCCCGGGCACCTGGAGGGAAACGTCGCACATCATCACATCCTCCACACGAACCTGCCGTGAAAATCGAGGTTCTTTTTCTAGATGCTCTGTTCACGTCCAGATCTCTGACCCAAACAGCAACACAGACCTTACTAATGCCGTCAACACTCATCTGTCAACAAGAGTATTATACCTCTCTGGCTTTTGAGATTGTGTGACGATTACGAGAAAAAAACACATTGTAAACATAAAATCAAGATTGAACAGAAAAAAATAATTGGTATTCGCGTGGAGTTATCAATATCCCTTGTACACGATGACTTCTGTTTGTGTTTACAAAGTGAAACTTTAAAGGCGGTATCTTGTTATCAACTACAATTGTAATTAAGCAAGCAAATGAAAACAAAACACTTTGCTTACATTTTTTAAATAATTAAACCGTGTTTTTGAATACTGTAGTGTTTGATCATGGTTAGAGCGGTTGTGATAAAACACAATTTTTTTAGAGCTGTAAATATGAAGCAGTGAATTACAATATAACACACGAGTGTTATATTACTCTTGGGTTCTATTCGGTAAAGTCACGTAGGTAAAAAAATACATGTGTGTTATATTGCATATATGTGTGTTATATTGCAACCGGACATGCACCCTCCGTCACTTGTGCGGTAACTGTATTTATTACATTTCAAGGAATCTCCGCTGTAGGTTCTATAATGCCCTGCGTAGACTACTTGTTGTTTGAATGCCGTCTCTCTTTGCCCCCTAGCCCACTCGGATGGGCTGTGCCAGAAGCTGCTGCGGCCGTGCGTCAGCAAGAAGCCGCAGCAGTTGTGGGAGAAGGACGCGTGGGAAATCCCCAGGGATTCGCTGAAGCTCTCCAAGCGGCTGGGCGCTGGCCAGTTCGGGGAGGTGTGGATGGGTGAGGCCTCCACACCACGCAAGCACGCGCGGGCAAACGCACGCGCGGGCAAACGCACGCGCGGGCAAACGCACGCGCACATATGGTAAACGCCACCACCAAAGACAAAGACCCCCTGTATAGCCTTTACAGTCTTTCGGGGCAAGTGTTGTTAGCGAGTAGCGCTGAGAAAGGCCGGCACGGCACACGAGGGGGTGGGTGGCCAGTACCACACCTCTCTCCCCAGCGGCGATGTTTACGCACCACAGCAGGTAATAATTTGAGGCTGAGTCGACCTAGGGGAGGCCCAGGACTGGTTCAGAAATTCGTCACTGTCATTGGCCGTGAGCGGGAATTGAACTCGGGTCGCTGGGTTCATCGCGCAGTGCGCTTACCGCTACACTTCCACTCCCCACCACCACCACCACCAGCAGCGGCAGGGAGCGGTCACACGCTGAGAAGGCCGTATGCTGAGAGGCGGGAGGAGAGGCGGGATGTTTGGTGTGGAGCACGCTAGCCAGCAAAGCACTTTCCCTACCGCTATCCTTGACTATCCAAACAAACAGCGACGACTAGTACTAACCCTTCCCCTAACCACACGAGCTAATCAAACACTTGCCCTACCCTAACCCCTAACTAACCGACGAACCAGCTACTCATATTTGTGCTCCCAATTGACCCTAACCAACAACTAACCAATTCCTCATCAGCAAACTTAAACACTCATGTTGAACTGCAGGGGCACACAGCCTAGGTGTAAAACTGCAAGATGAGAGCCGTTGTTTTTGTGTTTTCGTCTTCAAGTTTGATCAAGTCCTGTGCGCCGAGAACGTTCGTCTCTCGTGCAGGGCCACGGTGTATTCATCGCCCCCGCTTTTCCCGCCACCACGCGTCTCACCGCAGGCATTTACAACAACCGCACGAAGGTGGCCATCAAGACAATGAAGCCGGGTAGCATGTCACCCGAGGCGTTCCTGGACGAAGCAAACCTGATGAAGACGCTGCAGCACCCTCGGCTCGTGCGCCTCTACGCCGTCGTCACACAGGAACCCATCTACATCGTCACGGAGTTCATGGAGAATGGTGAGTGCGCAATGCTCGCTTGCACCCGTCGCGAAATAACACTCAGGAGCTTTCAATCTGATCGAAGCCATCTAATTTCTGCGAGGCTCAGCCAGGACACACCACGAGCTGGCAGCCCCTTCCTCAGGTCAATTCCCGCCCACTTTTAAATAGCCACGCCCATTCACCTGCTAGCCCCTGTCGATCACGTTGACCCTGCCTACTGCTCATAGGCACTGCCCATTCCTCTGCCAGCCCCACCTACTATTCATGTAGCCCCAAAATTTGTGTTTAAAAGCTTCAGGACACCGCGATAGACTTTCTGAAACCACTGGCCACTGCCCCTCGCATCGTCTCCTTACTCACCATGGAATGGCACACGACTCCCTAACCCATTGTGGTCTCATGCCTGATATGTTCTTACTTAGCAGAACAACGAGCACCTCCACCGCCACGTAACTCCTGCCCAACTCCTCAGTAAGGTTACGAAGTGGAAAACAAAATTCTTCTTTTCTACCCCACGTGAGCGTTGGTTTTGTGAGTAACTATCAAAGTGCCGATTGTAAACTTCTCTGTTTGGGTTTAGAAATTCAACACTGTATTGTCGGGAGCAGGAAACTGACACATTAAAATGAAATTGCACCCACTGTGGGAAACATAAGCTTCCTTCAACTGCCGTCGAGCAACTTGTATGCAAATTGGAAATGTCAATAGCCGCTCCATTGCACATGTAATGTGGAACCAAGTTTCCTCTATTCGTGTACTCGTGCGGTATGCTTGCACACACACATGCGCACATTCACGTGCACACCCACGCACACCCTCGCTCACATCCACTCGCACTCGTGCACACAACAACAGCCGCCGTTCGCCGTTAAGTGACGGCGACGTCACCACAGCGCTTGTGCCAGGCTAGGTGCGCCGTGATGTAGCGTAAAATGTGGAAGGCTCACTTGTAGGGGGCGACAGGAAAGACCTAGATTATACGGGTTAACTAAGATGACTGACAGATGCGTGCAAACTCGTGCACACGTTCACATCGTACAGTTACACAAACTCGCTCAAGCTCAGTCGCGCACACACGCACACACACAGATCCCCGTTATAACCTCAACAGACTTTTGGGGCAAGTGCTGTTAGCAAGCACCTACGAAGACCGCCACGGTACACGATGGGATGGGCAGCCAGCACTTCGCCCGACCGCTTTGGTCTCCCAGTGGCGATGTTTACACACAGGTACTCATTTGAGGCTGGGTCGATAATTGTCACTGATGTTGGCCATAAGAAGGAAATAAACTCGGGTCGGTGGGTCCGTAGAGTAGCACACTAACTGCGACACCACCGCTCCCCATGCACACTCTTGCACACCCACTCACACGCAACACACTTGCACAGACTCAGCCAGTCTCATACACAGGTTCTACATTCACACCCTCATCACACACAAAATAACATACACATAAGTACGACATTTTCCTAACTTGCCCAATTGGACACTCACGCACGCACACGTGCGCACACACACACCAGGTGGACGCTGTTGTGAAAGGACAGTATGATTACAAATTGAGGGGTTAAGCCACAATGAACCTCTTGTGCTTCCTGGAAAATGTGACCACCGTAACATCCGCAAATGTCTCTACTTTAGGTTTGACTTCTGGCAGCCAGGCACTTGTGAAACCCGAACGCTTCAGCGCGTTCAAAACGTTCACTCGGTGATTGTAATGCTATAACTTAGAGCTTGAGTGGACTTGTGCCCTCAATAATGGGATGATTAAAACAAAATTACGATAGCGTTTTTTAGAACATTTCTATCAAAGGTCTCGTCTTTGCAGACAGCCTTCTTTAGTTCGGCTGTAAAACTATTCATGCGTGTTAGACATAAAGAGCTAATGAAAATATGATGTGGAAAATTGTATTTCCAAGTAAATATGGCCACTTTGGCTTTTGTAACCATAAATAATAATACTAGTTATCCACTCCTGGATGAAGGCCTCCTCACGTGCTGTGTCGGTCGTGGGGGAATAATTTGATTGGTTTATGAATCGTTACATAAACACTGTGATAGTGACGATGTGTTGTGTGTTGGCATCGTGTTGACGCGTACACAGTCGAGATTGACGCAGAATTGAAACATGAATCCCATCTCCCGTCCTGTGAGACTCATTGTCTCACGACGTTGACACGGATTGCATTCCTCTCCCGTTCCAGTCCTATTCCTTGCCGTGGCAGTGAACAAGAAACAACGCAAAAACATACAGAAGGCAAAAACAGTGCAGGCTACAACTGAGACATCAGATAGAGGCAGTGGCACAGGCCTGGGGCTGCGCTCGACCTCTCACTACGGACGAAGCGGCTGGCAGAAGACGATGGGGAACACTCTACAGTGGGCCGAAGTGCACTGAGGGCATTCTCTATTGGTTGATAATATCTTAATTGAAAGCAAATTCAAAAGAACGTGTTTATTTTGTACAGTGTATATAAAACCAAAACAAGAAACATAAAATTCACTAGTTTTGACTTTTATGGGAAAAATACGATTTGAATCAGGAATCGAGTCACCAGCCCTTACGGAGGTGATGCATCGGTTGACGAGAGGGTTGAGTTGTTCCGGGCCGAGTGACCCTGTACACTTGGTACCATATTCGCAACGTTCTTAGGGCACAGAGGATACAACGAGAGGGCATTTCATTACCAATGTTCATGCCCGTGATGTCACCATGCCCTGGTCATGCACACATCAAAGTCCACAAATAACGACTTGGATTTTTCAACAAATCAAAGCCTTGAATCATGACAATTTTTCCAACTGCTCAGATGCTGGCACACTGCACCATGGAGACCTAGCGACCTGAGTGTTGATTTTCAGCCATGGCCAATATAGGCTAGTGATATCTAGACCAATACTGGGAACCCACTTCCATCACTCATCTGCACTGTATGTATGTATGTTGAGCTTCTTTCGCACCGTATGTAGCCAACCATGCTAATCGGAGATGCGGGAAATTGTAGAGTGCATTTGCTGGTTTGCAGAAGTGCAACTTCCAGCGGGTAAAATTCTGCACCGCTTTACCAACAAGTACAACAATTATGGTACAAAAAAATATTGCACAATGATTATTATGGTATCGTGCAGTATGTCTGTGTATGTGGTTGTGTGTGAATGTTTAACCTGTATATGAGTGTGGGTTAGTCTGTGCACGTGTGTTGCATGCATGTGTGCGTGCGAGAGTGTGTAGTAGCGGTAGTGTAGTGGTTAGTGCACTGTGCTCCTCACCTGGAGGTGTGGGCGAAGGACCAGCTTGTTGAAGTGTTTTGTTGTTTATCAAAACCAAAACTAATATTCTTTTTTTATTTTACCAAATAAGGCCGACTGAGCTATGAAGCTCTTTTTCAGAGGCGACTTGGCCACAAATGATAGCTCAATGAAGTGGCTTATCATGTGGAAATTTATAGCAGCCAATTACTCTTAAAGTATGTTTCTAAACGTTGAGGGAAAAACTGGAGGACCTGCATAACCAGGCGACCCGCTGCTGGGCAAAGGCAATTCCAATCGTGTCCCATTCAACTCTACGGATATGTCCCCGGTCCAACCAGCGCCTCAGTACGCCTGTCACGTCCACACGTCCATCGCTCCGTCTCTGCTTTGGGCGTTCTCTATTCATTTTCCCATCAAGTATCTGGTCCGTTGCAAATTATATCCATCTGTCATCTATTTGCAATGGCCTGAATGTACCTGGTTAACCAGAAGGTGGCATGTGACTAGTACCCACGTATGTTTGTTGAACTTCTTTCGCACCTTACGTAGCCAACCATGCTCATCGGAGGTGCGGAGGCCGCAGAAGCGCATCTTAAAGCGCGCGATGCAGTCACCCTCATTGTTCGATGGCTAGCCAAAAGCCGCTGCTAGGATGACCAGAGTTCGCGTGATGGTTTATGCTCCTTAACGAGATCAGCAAAGGTATTGTGGTTAATTTTTTGAAGCACTTTGTGCGTAATGAGTGCGAACTTATTACGTATTCGTTCGGCAACCAGAAGCCAATGCAGTTCAACCAGCACTGGATGGACATGGTCGCATCTTGCAGTAGCCGTCATGACACGTGGCAGAGAATTTTATACACGATTAAGATTGGTAATGTTTTTGCCAGACGTCCCGTAGAGTAGTGAGTTGCACGACCATAGATGAGAGATATCATGAATGCGGTGTGTGCCGGGGGTGTGCAAATATTGTATAGGTCACCCACCCAGCCAGCCTTGGCTGGAATGAAGCCCTGTTGATTAGTCTCTCCTGCATGATCCGGCCATTTCCAATGTCACTGTTGATAAGTATGTGTGTCACTCGTTTTCTTCCCCTTGTAATGTTATTTCTGATTCTGTCTCTTCTCGTTAACGGTCAACGGGCTTCTCGTTTCCATCGTGCCTTGACGTACTTGGTAGTTTTTTTCGAAAATGTTTTTGCGTTGTTGGTGCTCGCATTTGCCAAGTGGTGACGTATGGTCAGGCAAACCACCATGATCAATTTGGTGTGGGGAGGCGTTCATCTAGCAGTGAATTAACAGTGGGCTGTAAGTTAATATTAGCAGGAGGAAGTTTGTAATTCTTATGAAAATGAGTTCCCACTACGCACAAAATGATCGGATTTTGTTTTTGAAACGTACTCAAAGGATTTTCATGTATTTTAAGTGTTGCATCAGACCTTGAATGTATTGTGTTCTTGGGGTTTGGAGGGTAGTTTTAACTAGAAAACACCTGCTTTGTCAGAAAATGTGTGTCATATGCAGAAACGCTTGCGAAACTTGCTATGTCAGCGATGGAAACACCACTGTTGCAGCAATGAGGAAGCCTTGTGGGGTTTTTTTCTAAGGTCGGCATTCTGCTCAACTATTTCCTTAAATTATCTCACACATTGCTTCAGGGCAGTACCCTGCTATGTTCGGCATGGCGTCCGAAATTTAATTCCGTGTGCTGGGAGCTTATTCTGACTCTGCGAAAACCCATGCGGTGGAACGTCCCCTTATGATCCTCATTGCATACACTCTCTCTCTCTCTACGTGCGCTCACGTGCGTGCGTTCGTCTCGTCCCCTCACAGGAAGCCTGCTCGACTACCTGAAGAGCACAGAGGGCAGCACTTTGCCGATGCCCAAGATGATTGACATGGCTGCCCAGGTAAGAATATCACCTCACTCCCAAGCACTGGGCACTGAACAACGATCCCATTGATTCATCGATTTAATAACGTGTTTTTGTTAGTTTACTGCAGCAGCATTATTTGTATTATTTGCAATGCAGCTTGGCTCTGATTGCATGGCCCACGAGTACCCAGGCCTCGCCCACTGAAACTGCAGCCACAGCTACTGAATCTTCGTGATGCCAGTCGATACATGATGGCAGTAACTGAGCAATCACGTGAACACCATCCTTATATATAAACTTAATTACTGGAGCGGAGCGGCGGTACAGTGGTTCACACACTGCGCTATGAACTGGGCTACCATAGTTTGATTCCCATCAGAAGCCGAGTGATATCAGAAACGTTCCTGGGCCTGTCTCCCCTTCATCCTTCACCAACACATGGTGACCAATGTGGTGAAGTACGGTCAAATAGCCCCCTGTGGCCGACACAACAGATTTATAAAGGGTTGTAAATCATTATTATTTTCCACCTCCACCCCCCCCCCCACCACTAAAGTATTTCCACTGCACTCTGTGTCACGTGGTATGAGACGAAGATGTTTCCATCCAGAACTGCACAGCTAAGAGTGCATCGCTTAGTGTCAGAGAATGGCCCCGGAAGGTGACATCACAGAACTCGGTTATAATAAAGGGCGCTCGATCAACAATGAGGGCAAACCTTTCATATGCCCTGCTAATTGTGTCTTTGGTTGTAAACACCCCGGTGAGTGTCAATTTAATGTGTTGAACAGCCAAACGTATTGGTGGTAGTTCCGTATTATGGCCATTGATGTGAGTGGCTCCAAGGAGTGAGTGTACCCTGAGTGTGAAGGGACGAGGCTACAGCGGAACAGGCAAAGTGTGCAAGAGTTCTAGATGCCATAGTTCCTTGTAGCAATTACAGAGGAGTGATTAGATAAAAAAAAAATTGTAAACATATTTTTGTAATATCTAGATTTGAAGCTTTCGTGTCTGCAAGGATCCATACTCTTTGGTTCTATTCGGCAAAGTCACGTAGGTAAAAATAACAAAAATCACGACGTTTCGGCCACAACACCAGTGGCCTTCATCAGGTGAAGGGACCGTGCTGTCATGAGGACAGTGTTGGAGTGAACACAGTCAAGCGTTTTGCTTCCTCCCACACAGCTTAAAGGACGCGACCTGGGCTTGGCTGTTTTCAATCCAACGCTGTCCTCATGACAGCACGGTCCCTTCACCTGATGAAGGCCACTTGTGTTGTGGCCGAAACGTCGTGATTTTTGTTATTTTTTTTTTACCTACGTGACTTTACCGAATAGAACCAAATAGTATATTTTTGTAAATCCACTGCTGGATAAAAGCCTCTCCATGCTGTGTCGGTGCTGATAATTGTTTGACCACACTTCTCCGAACTGGTCAGGAGCAGGTAGATGAAGGTGGGGGGGGGGGGGGCTATGACCAATTCAGGTATCACTCGTTGCTGTTGTTAGCCGTGGCCGTAAATCAAATTCAGCTCGCGGGGTTCGTAGCGATGTGCTCCATCCACTGCAGAATCGCTCCATCCACTGTGTTTAGATGTTAAGGGCACATATCTTGGTGACCTTTGGCATTGGCAGTGGACACTGTTTCACTCCACCTCTTTATCTAAGAGGCTTCGGGTTCTTGATGATGTGACATTTCCATTGTTAATGCGTCATTTAAGATGTCCACCAATGTTGTTCGGTGCAACTCGACAAATAAGGAATAGATGTAATAAAATAGTAAATAAATCATAACTAAGAATGACCTTCAAAAGTGACGGGTGGCGTGGCGAATTCCGCATTACTCCTCGTGGTCACTTCAATGTCAATTTCCTGGTTTACATTAATTACCTGTCGGGGTTGCCACTTGTCCTGGTTTTCTCAGGATCGCTCTCTTTTTGACAAGCTTTCCTTTAAATCACTCTGTCTGTTGTTGTCGTTGTTGTATCCTCAAATCTTGTAACTCAATTTTAACCCACTTCCCAATGTGGTATCGACTGCAAACTTGGTATACTTATGTCAGACTGATGACAATACTATATTTTATCATAAAAAATAAAAAAATCTATATTTTTAAACATTCTTTTTTATATGTTATGTTTCGGCTTGGGTCTAATTGGCCACGGTCAACTGGCGTTGGCTGTAATTGGCCACAGTCCCTTACGTTATGGCAAGCTTCGGGGCCACTTCCTGGAGTCGTGGAGTTTTGCAATTACTAGTACATTTCCTAAAAGCGTGTTTTAAAAAATATATTTTTTACTTATTTAAGGTGGCTATCCTGGGATATCTGCAAGTCTTCCCGGGCCATTAAAAGTCCCGGTTGTTGTCGTTTTTTTAATAATTCACCACGATGGGCAACACATTTGCATGTAGTTCTCCCATCCCTGCCGGTATTGTGAGATATTCTTCTTCCAATTATATATCCCAGTTTTTTTGTAGCTCAGAGGTGGCAACCCTCTTTGTCTGTGAGAGAGGTGAGGCCTCACAAACCACGGGCATCTTTTGCTTTTCATGTCCTGAGAAGCTGATTATCTTCAGAAATCACTGAGCCTTTAAAAACTCCCATTCCTGTAACGAACTTGTTTATATACGCTCTAACATCAATTCCGAATATATGCGCCGCAAACGGAAAACACACATTCTGCAATTGGTGTACGTAACACCGTTGAATTCGTTTTGTTGTTTTTGAAAGATAAGATATTTCTGTACAGCTGTAGTGTTCCGTTGCATGCATGTGTGTATTTTTTTTCTGTTACAAGCAGAGCCAGCAGGAAAAAAGGAAAAAAATGCATTAGGGTTAAAGAAGGGAAAAAAAATGTGACTCCTTTTTGATTTGCCCGAGTGCATGTGATCAATGACACCATTGAGATTAAATTGAAGGGCAGGGAGGGGAGTACAGTGGTGAGAGAAGGAGGGGTACACGGCAACCGATCGCCTCGTTTCCTTGACTACAGTACCCAAGCTGTGCTGGTCCAGGAACAGTCGCACAGACTTGAGGCCCCCCACTCACCCCGTCTAATATGCAAATGAAATATCTTAAATTCGATCAATGCCATGCATCTCCTCTGCCCCCCTTCCTCCCCATATGCCCTCCTGTGCATCTCCCCGTTTACTGCGGCCTAGTGTCTGACCCTGGGAGGGTGGCCTCCAATGGGCAACAATCTATGCGAGGTCTAGAGGTATTGGGTGGAGAGAAATTTGTAAAAAAAATATACTTGTTTTAGCTCAAGTGAAATGTGGGCATAAGGTTAGATAGTAAAATTGACATGTATTGGAATTGAATTTGAATTATTTGGTCCCTAGATTTGAAAATTAATTCGAAAAAGATAGATATGTGAAGTGGGCACATTCTCAGAGATGAAAGGTTGATGAAGGGAATTCTAGAAGGGCATTGCCTAGAGGCAGATACAGAAAAATGCTGCTTTATGACTAAAAGTAGGCCTATACAGTGCATTTATTCATAATAATTCACTACGTTTGGTATTTGTGCCATTCTTATCAAGCAAGGCTGAAAGGAAGGCGCTTAGTCTCACAGAGAAATGTGCTCTGCCAGTCGGGAGAGATTTTGCTATGTGGTTTTACCTCAAGTGGAATCATTTTCAAATCTTATAAATATGGACCTCGACACTGGTACACATGACCTATTTAACGTCACGGAATCTTTAACGTTCACTGCAAAGCAGATGGCGTGTATTGTGTTTATTGATAATGTAATAAGAGTATTAACTAAGGTGGCCACTGGGTTCAAACCACGAACCTTTGCAACGGGTGGAAAGAACAATTTTCCAGTTGATTGCTTGCATTTTATCACCAGACAAAGAAATACAGTGTGGAACTCTCACAGCTAGCAGTGCATCACCATGCGTGAGAGAATGACCCGAGAAATGAGTTACCTTAAACCATGTCCGAACCGACCACAGCAGGTGCAATCCCCTTTTTCCTAAAAATTGAATAAAAAATTACCCAAAATTCAATTCTGCAGCGTGCCACAACGAACGCTGGGAAGGGATCGCGAACTGGTGTCCACTGCAAGCGTTATCTGATGGCATTAGCGGTCTCCACAATCGTTGTGTCCCCTGAAGTCAGCGGTCTGGATTCACAGCACTTTATATCGATGCTACTCACTTAACCACATGAAAGAATAAACCTGGAAGTTGATGTCATATAACTACTTCTTGAAGTCACTATCAACACTCAGAATTAAGTCCTTTTTTTTAGAGCTGGAATAAGATAAATGAATGATGAACCAAACCTAACAATGGGTTTTTTTTTTGTGTAGTCGTTGATGACCAAGCTGAGACAATTCACTACACTGGAGAACCCAGTTTAATTTTGGTTGACTGAAACCTATACGCGAACCCAGGGTTACAGCAGTGGTGGCTCAGAACCTCCAACCCCTTCAGCCACTCGGCCACTCTCAAATGCAATATTTTGCACATAAATTCTGAATGAGAATAAAATTCAGGTCAGCCCACTGATGAATACTAATATAAATCCACTCCACAATACTGTGCTCTATAATCCGATTAAGACACTTGCAAGAGGAATTGGATTTTGAAAGCATTTTAATTAAGGGAATTATACAAAACTGAATTTAGTTTGCATTTCAAGCACCATGTTATTAAGACTGCAGTGCAGTAACGTCTGCACAATAATTTCGTTTAAATTGGAATCTCTCCAATCGTCATGTATGTGCCACGCTTTAGAACTGTTTTAATTATAGACGTTTAATAAACTCACGGAACCCTTTTCAGTAGAGTCCCTCATGAACAGCAATATTAAAGCAGACTTTAATCTGAATTGCAAGGGAGAGTGAGCAATCCGGAGGCAGGTGTTAATTAAGTGGTTTGCAGATATTAACAATTCACCCCATGAAACAACTCGATTGAATGTTATGATTTTGATAGGATTCATAAATCTACAGTTACAGTGCAGTGCACGTGGCATCACTGAACTGCAATAGGGGCTGCAAACTTTCCAGGAACCAAATCGCAACGTACGAAAAACAATATAGACGATTTGGAAACGGCTCGATTCAAAGCATTTTTTGTTGACTGAGAATAATAATAATAATTCAGTTTGGTCACTTTGAGCAAATTCAAATAATTTTTCGTGGGACATGAGTGGAAAACAAATTATTATCTGTATAGCTGGATCCATTATTGAAGGTGAACCGAGATGGATTTAATCTGTTTATGGAGAGTGGCATTACCATTGTGCCTAAATAAAGTACATTTTCAATCAGTGCGTGATATATCAAATTGGAAACACGTACACGGACAAAGAAGGTGGTAAATAAATATTTAAAAGATGCAAAGAGGTCCATGCTTGGAATTACACCGAGACAGAAAAAGAGCACGTGTGGACATCATATGCATGTATGTTGAACTTCTTTCGCACCGTGCGTAGCCAATCGTGCTCATCGGAGGCGCGGGTGAAGGACAACAAACTTAACACAATAAGCAGTTCTAAAGAAATTAGTTTTCAATTGAGGTGATTTAAGAGTGCATAGTAGCTCCAGTGGCTTCCTAATAATATGGACTGTGAAGAAGAGTGTGCTTGGGCAGGACGCGTCGCTCGAGACTAATGACGGTTTAGCAACAGGAGGAGGGAACGCGCCCTGCCGGACGACCACAGGGCGCAGAAGTGACATGGATTGTGGCATCGCAGAAGCCTGAGAGATTGTTTCCGCTTGGGGAAGCCTTCATCCAGCAGTGGGTAGAACATGGCTGACGAATCGGTTTTGAACGTCAAATCTGTGGATGACCAAACAGGGTTCTTAAGTCCACCGTAGGCTGTGCGCGCCGTGTTGTTTCGTTCGACAGGGGGGCGCCTATATTTCATTCCTTTCCTGCCGTGCTGATTTTTTTTTTTAAACAACAACAACCCATGGCCATAATTGGCGTGAGACTGGAGCTGAAGATGCAAAGCTGCATGGACGCGGCGAGACAGATTGAGCGAGGACCCGGGGTGTGCGCTCTCTCCGGCTCTCTCGCATCAAGCGTAACTTTACCCGTTTTCCTCAACGTCAAAGATTGATGAGCCAATGCTTTTAAGAAATAACTAGCAACCAACACCTCCCTGACCCCTCGTAGTTTTGATCAAATGAAGGCAGCAGTTGCTTTTATCAGATGAACCAGTAAATGTGCCCGAGAGATTACATAACCGATCGTAGAGGGACTTAGGAACTCTGTTACACGTTTTTGTATTGGACACTATTATCGACTGTTTATTGTTTCTTACACTCTTCGCTTCTGCCAAGCATACTCCATCGTTGTCTATCCACTGCTGGATAACGGCCTTCCTACATCGTCGCCATCGCGGTCCTGCAATGCTTCAATCCACCTCACCCCTGCCTATTAACGCAAATTGCAGCATGGACGCTCGTTAAAATGCACTCGTGAATAAAGTACGGTCAGTTAATGTCCTGCTATTTAAAACTGTATTCTAAATTTGCCCGTTGTATGATACTAACATTTAGCAATTCTGACTGGACAAACACACACGAGAACATACGCGTGCAAGTGTACGCAAGACAAAGATCCCCCACAGAGTCTGTTGGGGCAAGTGCTCTTAGCGAGCACCTGATTGTTTTTTCGTTGTGGTTGTCCCCACCTGATGACGGACGCTTGTGTTGCGCCCGAAACGTCGTGATTTAATTTAGTTGTTTTCATTTTTGCTTTGTTTTATTTAATTTTATTTAATTTTTACCGACGTGACTTTACCGAAAGAACCAAAGAGTATGGATCCTTGCAGTCACGAAAACTTCAAATCTAGAAGCACCACGAGGGGGTGGGTGGCCAGCACCACGCCCGACCGCCTTTGTCTCCTGAGCGGCGATGTTTATACATCGCACCAGGTACTCATTTGAGGCTGAGTCGACCTAGGGGAGGCCCAGGACCGGTTCAGATAATCTGGTGTTGGCCGTGAGCGGGAATCGAATTCAGGTCCCCGGGCCCGTAGCGCAGTGCACCAACCCCCACGCCACTGCTCTTCACTTAGCACAGAGGCCGAGTCACACATCCAAACGGCGCTGACTGCACGAAACGCACCTCACGTTCACAGATCGCCGAGGGCATGGCGTTCATCGAGAGGAAGAACTACATCCACCGAGACCTCCGCGCCGCCAACATCCTGGTCAACGAGCAACTCGCCAGCAAGATCGCCGACTTCGGGCTGGCCCGCATCATCGAGGACAACGAGTACACGGCGAGAGAAGGTGCACAACCGCTCGCGTTTCTAGGCACAGCAGCTGGGCATGGGCCTGAACAAACGTCTGTTATGCAAAGCAACTAGCTTGTGACTAGCCTAGTAAAAAGTTAAGGCGCAGCCTTGCAATGTCTTGCTCACGCCACTGCTGGCAGAAGGGACCTATTCGTACACGCTGGCCATACATCTTGGAAGAGGTAGGGGGCACCCACAAATTAGCCCACCACACGCGGCCTGCCAATCAACTAACTATGGCGTGCCTATTTATACTGCTGGATAGACAGAAGCGCGGCGGGGGGGGGGGGGCGGGGGTTTAAAAAAGAAACGTACCTGCCATGCCGGGAGATGGAACGGAACAGGTGACCTCAGGATTACAAGGCCAGCATGCCGAGAACCTTTCCCCCAATGCGGCAGCATCCCATGAAAATCTTACAGCAGATGCAACTGTCATGCCAAGTATGTTGACGGATTCACTAAGAGATTATCATTGTGAAACTTGGTCAGAGAAACCGTAGGTGGGGTGTGTAATCCAAACAATGGCCTTGGTTTAGGACCGGACTTAAGACCAAAATTACACAAAATTATCTGTTGCAAGGGAGACCTGGGGTGTAAATACGAGCACAAATATTTGTACTAGTTACTAAAATTCCCTGCTGAAAACACCATAAAAACACCAAATAAATGACAAATTTAAGTTACAAAAAATATTTATGAGTACAAAAATATACGTTGCCAAGAAAACACCGAATGAAAATCATTGCACAGTGAAGAGGCTTCAGAAAAGTGATTTTACACCAGACCAAATATGTACACTCCTTGTACAAATCGGGGTTTGTATCAAATTAGGACGTGGAAGGAAGTAGTCATTCTTGGCTTCCTGTGTAATTTAGCTTTCTAGGAAGTGGCATCCATTTGTCGTTCAGGAAAGACTTGCTGAGCCTCAAGACTTTTATAGGAGGGTTCGAAATAAGGATGATTGCTTCACTTTTAAGGATTGGTTTTCACCTGGCAAGATACGAAGAAACCTGGAGAAAGCCCTCCTATTATGAGATTATAACAAACAAAGTTCCACAGACGGTCTCACACAAGGCCCACATCTTTGTCAATTTTGCCGCGAAGTGGAGTCAAAACAGGGCCACCCAGGGGTTCCTAGATACCCTAGGCCGCCCTGCTGACATCCTGCGCGATACCCCAACTCAAAAGCCCTATTTGATTACGAGCGTACGTCACCATGCCCAGCTCGGCCCAGAATCTTTCGTTCATCCCTCATGACAGTTTGTGCGTGTGCGTACGTGCGGTGCCTCTTCCACGTGTGGAGGCGGGTGGTGCAGCGGTTAGCGCCTTGCGCTATGAACCCGGCGACCCGAGTTCGATTCCCGCTCATGGCCAACACCAGTGACGATTATCTGAACCGCTCCTGGGCCTCCCCTAGGTCGACTCAGCCTCAAATGAGTACCTTGTGCGATATATAAACATTGCCGCACGGGAGACAAAGGCGGTCGGGCGTAGTGCTGGCCACCCACCCCCTCGTGTGCCGTGCCCGCCTTCATAGGTGCTCGCTAAGAGCGCTTCCCCTAAAAGTCTATTTAGGCGAAAGGAGGATATTTGTCTTTGGTGCCTCTTCTGTGTGGCTCGGTGATCACCTTTTCTCTGCGTTCTCTTGGCTTTGTTCAAACTGAGCAGGTGCCAAGTTCCCCATCAAGTGGACGGCGCCCGAAGCGATAAACTACGGCTCCTTCTCCATCAAGTCCGACGTGTGGTCCTTTGGCATCTTGCTCACGGAGATCATCACCTTCGGCAGGATCCCCTACCCAGGTTTGGACTGCGCGCGCTGTGTTATCAACCCTTTGCACGCCTCGGAAATGACGGACGCAGCATGAAACATTCAAGTCATACCCAACACACCGAGACAACGATCAACGTGACCCAGGTTTCATGCACGCGTGCCTGCGTCTGTCTGCATGCCTGCTTATGACCTGTGCATGCTTCTGCGTGTCTACCCGTGACCTTTGCGAGTGTTTGTGACCCGTGCGTGCTTGCGTGCGTGCGTGCGCGTCCGCGCGCATTTTTCAGGCATGAGCAACTCGGACGTGATCCGGCAGCTAGAGCGCGGCTACCGCATGCCGTGCCCTGAGCAGGCTCCCAAGCAGCTCTACGGCGTCATGATGGACTGCTGGAAGGAGCGGCCCGAGGAGAGGCCCACGTTTGAGTACCTGCAGGGAGTGCTCGAAGACTTCTTCACGTCGACCGAGGGCCAGTACCAGCAGCAGGTGTAGGGCGCGGAGAGCGAGGAACGGCGCGAGCGGCCTGCGGCGCGCGCACGGCGCCCCTGCGACCTGAATCGCGACGCACGCGCGCGGGATCGCGATCGCACGTCAAGTGCACTTTGTGCACGCGTGCGCACGTGTGTGTGTGTGTCTGGTCACATTATGCAAATGTGCACGTACGGTAAATGAAATACACATTGCACAAATGTAGGAACACAGGTTTTTTTCTTTTTTTCTCCTGGCATTTTACGTGCATGCATGTGCACACTGCACACGTGCGCGTGTATACGCTCGTATGAATAGTACGCGCATAACACAAATGTGCCGCTTACAGGATGCACACAAATGCACATGAGCACTTAGACAAATTGTATTCCCAGTGCACAGCTGTGGAAATACCATAAATAAGTAACATCCGTAGCATGCGCGTTGTTATCACCGTTTTTCATTTTCTTTGTGTCAGCAGTTTTAATTTGTGCTGGGTCTGTGATTTGTTTTGAGAGCATTCATCTTGACAGCTGACAGCTACGACCTCGCGTTTAGAGTCTGCACAAGCGACCTGTGGTCGTGGCTTAGTGCGTTTGTGCTACAGTCACAAGACCACTTTTGCTTCATTAAACAATGCTCAAATGTTATATTTTTGTTACATAAAACACCATGCCTTTTCCAACTACACATTTGACATAGGCGACAACGTTCTGCTCGTGGTGAGTAGCGTTGGCTTCCGCTGCATTTGTGCTTGGGGATCTCCGCATAAAACGCCGCGTATCACCGATTGGAGCTGTGAAAGCCGTTATCCCAGGTCATCAAAACTCACACTGCTTTGGCAGTACTCGTAGAACGAGATCCACTTCATGATAATGTGGCTTCTTAAGAGGGCTCATGCCAGACAATTTAAATGTTGAGGCAGGGCGTACGCGTACAGGGTCACACGTGGGGTGAACGAACCCCCGCTTAACGATTCGTGTGACATTAACCTCTCCCCGCGGGAGCAGGGTTAACTTCTGACACCAGGGTTAACTTCTGACACCAGGGTTACCTTCTGACACCGTGAAAGACGTGGCCTCGGTCTCATGCCTTGAAATCAATTCAGAAGTTATTCACTTTGCCAAAGATTTATAACGCTGTCATGTTTTGTTCCATCAACATACACAAGACTGTTGCAATATATAACACAAATCAAAATCGTTTGGGCTCAACCTGCTAGAGTTTGCTAACATTGAGACCCACAGTTGGTTTTATTATATGTTCCCTACAGTGGCCCACTTGCGAGTGAAGGCCTGCACCAGCTCCGTGAAATTGTGTGTTCATCGAGTCCAATTTAGGGATCCGGGTTTGTCACTGGGACCACACGCATCCGTCACATCACCCAGAACCGAATCATGACCGCACTGTACAGTAATGGGTTTGTTACAGAGTATTCTGCAATGTTTTTAATGCGAGAGCGTAAATCGGGTTTTTTCTGAACTACGTGTGACGCTACGTAGCCGCGTCACACACACAAAAATACCAAAAACAGGGCCTTAATCTAAACAAAGCGCTGTATGCTGTTTAGAAACCAATACGCGAATATGGCAAAATCAAATTTTAAAAAGCGGACGGTGGACTTCTCCACTGTGGGCGTTTTTGACACGGGTCCGCGTTTTGTCAAATCGCATTGGTTACGTTTAACTTTGCTTCACGCGTTCACGTCCACTGCGGTGAAGCCGCTACGATTTAAATGAAATTTTATTTCAACACGTTTTTGGGAAGGGACGGGAGGGGGCGCTTCTCCTAAAATCACATTAAACTAAAGAAAATAGCTCTCGGGTTTTTTGTTTTAATAGTTGATGCACGAGAGGGTTAATATTGGTAAGCGTCATAACCAAGCAAAACGTTCGGCGTTCGTGTGTTTTTTGGCACCTGACATCACAATGGATTGTCTTGCTCCCGTTTGTCTCTGGGGTGGTACTGGCTGTAGTGGCTTTGGCATTTATTCTTACGGTGAGTGGGTGAGTGTTCCGCATTGTTGCCGGTGAGCAGCAGCTGTTAGCATTGTTTGAACAAAGCAAACAACAACTAAGACAGGAAGTCGGGCGTGGCCCGTCGTTCGCAAAGGTTGCCACTTCGTGGAGGTTGGGGTCTGCTCCCATGACCTCTGCTTTTCGTGATGTCTTTTATTTTCATTCTGGCGACCTTAGTTCGATTCCCGACCACGGCTATCATGATCGGCGAGTAATATCTGAACAGGTTTCTGCTCCAGCTCATCGCCATGCTTCACCAACCTGCACTGACCAGGATGGTGAAGTATGGTCACATCAGCAGGCGGGGGGGGGGGATAAGCCTTTGATCCAGCAGTGGAATGAAAAAAGGCCTGCAAATAAATTGTTCGTTAACATGTAAGTTTGATCGACTAATTGTTAGGACATTAGCTTAATAACTCCTGCCATGATTTTCCCAGTTGTGACCGACAAGATTTAAATTGAATGGTACACAGGCACTCCCCACACCACACCTGGCCCCACGTGAAAAAGCTGAAAATTGCGTTGGCCGGTTCACTGGGAAAACGTGGAACACCATCGCACCGATTTCATGGCCACGCGCCGGGGTCATGGACGCGGCGAGAAACTTTTCCACTGCGCGCCACTGCCCTCATCACCCCCCGCAGCCGTGCGTGGCTGCTTGGCGAGAGTAGGCGGCATAATAAACATGTGCGTGTTGGCCTTCGGTGTGTAAACATCGCCACCGGGGAGACAACGGCGGCGGTCGGGCGCGTGGTGCTGGCCACCCACCCCCTCGTGTGCTGTGCCGACCTTCATAGGGGCTCGCTAACAGCGCTCGCCCCAACAGCCTGTTATTACGGCTATGCGTGGGATCTTTGTTGTCTTTGTGTGTAAATGAATGTGTGTGTGGTGATAGTTGTGGGAGCGGTGGCGCAGTGGTTAGCGTGCCTCGCCACGAGCCCGTCGACCCGAGATCGATTCCCGCTCACGGCCAACACCAGTGACGATTATCTGAACAGGTTTCTGGGCTTCTCCTAGGTTGACTCAGCCTCAAATGAGTACCTGGTGCGTCGTGGTGCTATCTACCCATCCCTTTTGTGTCGGGGTGGGTGGTTTGCACAGGGGCTCGCTAACAGCACTTGCCCCAACAGCATGTTTGTCTTCGTGTGTGATAGTGGGTAAAATGTGCGTGCGAGGGTGTTGTACAGGCAAGTTGATCAGTGGTGATGTTTTCAGGAAGCAGCATGGTTGGCCTCGTTCTGCTGATAAGAGGACATGGGTTTATCTGGGTTCCCCATTCTCCTGCACTGTACAGTACTTCGCTTTTTCTCTCTTCAAAGTTCCTTTAAAACGTAAATTTATAACTATCGGTGACCCGAATGTGCCAACACGCAACAGAATATAATGCATTGAATTAAACTTTTTTTTCATTCCAGAAACATGTAATCATCTTTTTTTACTGGAAGCTTTTTAAAAGGGAATTAATAACACAATTAGGCACATAGTCAACGTATACATTTAAGCTACTCGATTTAACATTTTTACGAAACATTTTAAGAAAAATCCAGGTTTGTAGCTGAAATATGTACGATTCAATGTTGAGCCGCAAGCCTTGAACAGAACATAAAATGTAGGAATAACTTGTTTAGGTTCCTGCTGTTGTGCTGCCTGCCTCTCAGTGATGTGCTGTTTTGGCTTTGATGCCCGACGTTCCGCGCCAGGGAGCTTGCGAAGCTTTTTCAAGAGGTGTTTCTATTCACACCAAAAATGTCGTCATGTCATTTTACGGGTCACCCAGTCTTTGAGGTTTGTCGTTCTTATACATCTCGAGTCGATGGTGTTCCTCTCGTTGCTGTGGGTCATCGGGTGGCCATGTGGAGCGAAGCGTCAAACAAATGCCGACCGGCACGCGGAGACACAACCCAAGAGCCTACCGGAGAGATTCCATCGTATTTGTTGGAGGGAGAGGAAGGCTGACGGTGACGAATTGAGTAATCGTCGACGGTGCAGCAGATTATTTTCACTCCCAGTTCTCTTAAGAAGAACTGAGGTCCCCAAGTGGTACCGAATTGTCAAGTGCTTAACGTCACGGGCTGACACTGGGTTTCTTGTATTTGATAAAGCTGCCATTAATGTGAAAGAGCTTCCTTTTGCGATTCAGCGAAGAACGATATATACGGCTTCTGTTTTGGTTATTTAAACGACGTAATGTTGTTCAGAGTTATATTTTATATATCGTGACCCATTCCCTAGCTTGCTTTGTAAGTTTGTTTTGTTAAGCGTTGGATACGATTTAAAAAAACAACCCGCTTTGACATTCTAACACAGCAAGTTTCCCTTGCCGCCTTTTCAAACACGCTCGTGTTCAAATATATTTTCCATCTAACGTGTGATTGTAAAGTAATAATGATAATAAGTTATAGCCATCTTTGTTAATCAGCTCTAAAATCCAGGAGAGAGTGAGGTGACCAGACACTTGAATCTTGTGGCGCCCACTTCATATGGCTGTCGGCAAGAGGGCTATAGTGCAACAGAACGGCTTGTTGTACTGCACTATGATCCACGCCTTCACCAACCCACACTGGCCATTGGTGACATTCATTATTGCCAAATAACCTCTATGACCCGCACGGAGGAGTTGGGGGAAGCCTTTCATTCAGCAGTGGAATGACAAAAGGGGCTTTCTCTATATTCCCACGTACGTCACACGAAGCCCAATTGATTCCAGGGCAAACCATGATTTCCAGCCTTCGGTGAGCTCAGCAGCACCCTGGCAGTATCTCCACACGCCACAATCAGTCACTCCACACTCGTCACCTGGATTCTAGTGCCAGCCTTAAAGACAGCTTCACTGTGTTAGGATACGCTGAAGATTTTTGTTTTCTGGAAAAAAAAAACTTCCTAATAAAGTGTAAGAGCCGATCAACTAACTCCAGCCATTTGCAGTGTTGCCTGAATGCACTCTGTGTTTGCGTGTTTTATATCCAATGGTCGCTGCCCACGTGATTTCGCTTGGGAGCTTGTGGTTCTACCGTTTTTGTAAGGGCTCGATGATGACCACAAGCCTTCGAAGTAAACCACAGTGAGTTGATTGGTAGGTCGTGTGTGGTTGGGTAAACTGTAGGTATTCCCACCTCCTCCCAAGACGTCTTCGCAGGGTAGAAGTGTAGGTCAAAAATACCCTCTAGAGCAGTGGTTCTTAAGCTGGGTTCGATCGAACCCCAGGGGTTGGTTGGATCACTCTCCGGGGTTCGGCAGGGGTCAAGACACACACAGTGTAGCAGCCCGATTCGCACTGGCAATGTCAGGTCGTTTTTGTCGGCCGTCACAAAACATTGGCAACACACAATTTTTCTTCGCCGTGTTAGATTACAAATATTTAGTTGCTTAGTAAAAATGTGTCACACAAAATAAATTCAGCCCACTTGTATTATTCGTGACGTCACGCTCCGCTTGGCCATCATTGGCTGCACGTGGCGTGATCAGGAACTTGGTGCGCTCAGTAGTCGACTTGTGGCTGTTGTGATTGTACGTCATTTGTGATTTTCTTTTAATCTTTCAATCCCTTCATACTCACTATGTCGAGCAAAAAAATAAAGTGGTTGGACGAATACGTACAATATGGATTCACGTGTATAAAGGAACGTGATGGGAATCAGCGTCCTCAATGCATGATTTGCAATGCCAAGTTGAGCAATTCTAGTCTAGCACCGGCAAAACTAAAGGAACACTTCCTAAAGCTGCATGGAGATGGGAAATACAAGAACACAACGCTCGCTGAATTCAAGGTGAAGAGAGGCAGATTCGATGAGAAGGCTACTCTGCCTGTTCTCGGCTTTGTACCCATCGACAAACCGATCCTCACAGGATCGTACGAAGTTGCGTACCTGATCGCAAAGCAGGGCAAACCACACACCATTGGTGAAACACTCGTAAAACCAGCTGCGTTGAAGATGCGAAAAGCTGCTGAAGATAAATTATCCTCTTTCAAATGACATGATCAGCAGCAGAAGATAAATTATCCTCTTTCAAATGACACGATCAGCAGCAGAATTGAGGACATGAGCGATGACATCTTGGCTCAATTAGTTGCAGATCTGATTTCAAGCCCAGGAAAATTCAGCCTCCAACTCGACGAGACCACCGACGTTTCCAATCTAAGCCAGCTTGTTGTATTCGTGCGTTATATGAAAGACGACGTGATAAAGGAAGATTGTTTTATTTTGTAAGCCTCTTACAACAACCAAGGCAGTCGATGTGAAGAAACTCGTGGATGACATCTTCAGAGACAACGATCTTTCGTGGAATGTGGTTTCTGCAGTTTGTTCGGATGGAGCTCCAGCCATGCTGGGACGACACTCTGGTTTTGGAGCGCTGGTGAAATCCGATGCACCACACATCATTGTTACGCACTGTGTTCTACACAGGCATGCGTTGGCAACAAAAACCTTGCCTCCAAAACTGGCAGAAGTATTAAAAATTGTAGTTGAATTTGTGAACTACGTGCGAAATATTGCTATGAAGCACCGCATCTTCAAAGAGCTGTGTAAGGAAATGGGCTCTGAATTCGAGGTACTTCTGTCCCATTCTAACGTTTGGTGGTTATCCTGGGGAAAGGTGCTGAATCGTGTTTTTGCCATGCGTGTGGAATTAGCCCTGTTATTGCGAGAGTACCAACATTGTCACGCAAATTGCTTCGAAAATTCTGAGTTCATTCTCATTTTGGCGTACATGGCCGATATTTTCGATGCTCTCAATCATCTCAATCGACAGATGCAGGGCGGTGGAGTCAACATCATCGAAGCGGAAGAAAACCTGAAGGCGTTTAAAAAAGTTACCTTTATGGAAACGACGAACAGAGAATGATAACTTCGCAAACTTTCCCCTGCTGGACGACTGTGTAAGTAAGATCGAAGACGTGTCTGGAATTGGAGACATTTCTGTACCTGGGAAGCTGAAGCAAGCAATTCGCCATGCACTTAGATGAGCTCGCAAAGTCTCTCGACGGATACTTCCCCACCAGAGAGTCATATCCAGCATGGGTGAGACAGCCGTTCACGTTTAGTGTTGCAACAGCAGATGTCAACGATGAATGCCTCGAGGAAATAATTGAACTTCAGCAGAGCCAGCTTCAACAGCAACTCTTCAGAACAACAACGCTCTCAACGTTTTGGTGTCACCAAATCGTACCATTACCTCTTATTGCTAAGAAAGCCCTTGAGATACTCACGCCGTTTGTTACAACGTATCTTTGCGAGCAATCTTTTTCGAGGATGGTAGACATAAAAACTAAGAAAAGGAACAGACTTTGTTGCGCAAATGATATTAGAGTGGCACTTGCCAAGGTGAAGCCGCGCATTTCTGAACTTGTATCTGAAAGGCAACAGCAAAAGTCACATTGATTTGCAGTAAATATTCATTGAGTTATGTTTTTGCATGAAATTCATGTTTTGTTGGTTTTGTTCTTTGAACACAGTGATTTTGTGTGCAACTGATGCATGGTTCATTTTGTGCACTAATAAAATATATACCTATGTTTTGAAGAAATCATATTTTATTTTTCCAATTACGAAGGTTTCGGTGAATGCACTGATGAAGCTTGCAGGGTTCAGTACCTCCATCGGAAAGTACTTGCAGATCTGCACCATTACCTCTGTTTCAGCCTCCTGGTCTGATTTACACATTAAATTGAGGCACTTTTTTACCAGGTAAGGCCCAATTAGCTATATAGCTATTTTTCAGAAGCAATCTGGCCGCAAATTATAGCTCAACGACGTGCCTTATGTGGAAATGTATAGCAGTCAATTACTCTAAATGCATGTTGATTCTAAATGTGGAGGGAAAAAACAGGACCCAGAGAAAAATCCACACAACCACGGGGAGATCTTGCATACTCCAAATATAGAGCAGGCGTCAGGGTCGGGATCGAACCCACGACTTCCTGTAAACTAGGCGAGGTAGTTAACATTTCACCATCGCGGCGAGACGAAAATAGTATAAAGACTTTATGTTCAATGCTATGTTATATTTACTGCAATTAATATTTACTTCAAATTGCATCTAACACGTGCTCTATCTTCGCAAACGTATTGTTCTTACTACACTATTAGGGTTAAAAATAACTGCTAAACCGATTAATCATTAAAATATTTTCGGTTATGAATACGATGACCAGTTGAGCCAGAAACCGATTCCAGTGGCATTTTAGGAATACATGCCCTCATCGCACAGTGGCCTAAATCACCGCGTGGTACATTTGCGCTAATTTTTAGTTTTTAAAACAGGTGAAGGTGCAGCCCTGAAATGGCTTACTCAAGGGAGCGCCGGAGGGTGTTTGGGCTACTCTTCCACGTCGGCCCTGACATCTCTGGGAAGAGCTGGCAGTACACCCACACCTTACCCCAGCACACTTCACCTTCCGATCTGCTCACCGTGGTGTTACTCACTTATACTGTTGGATGGACCGATGCTGGAAGGAGGGCCGGTGGTGCAATCGAACCGGCGACATCTGAATTTGCAAGTCCAATGTGACAACGATAAACACCATTGTGGCAGCAGCTCCCTTCGTTTCTCAGTTAAAAAGATAAATTAATTCCACGTTTACTCATATACATGTCTATATATATTCGTGCTGAAAACCGGTAACCGGTATTTATAGCCCGGTTTTTTCATTTGGTTACCAGTAAAGTGTAATTTAAAACTCTTTGCACTGTACGCACAAGGCCACGGGTTGATGTACAAACACAACAACAATGCGCACATTGTAACGATGCATCATTCAATTCATTAGCATGGTATTACGCTCATGGTAGGTAATCAATGCATCTAATCATGCGCGTGGGAATCGATTGGTTTGGATTCAGAGATGTGTCTGTTTGGGTCCACGTATAAACCCCGCAGTCACTCGGCGAGAGAAGATTAGAGATTATTGGCCACGGACGTTGAAAACGAGTCACAGTGATCGACTCTTGAATCAAGCGATGACTTCGAATCCCTACATCCACGGGTATCGCGCTGAGTGTGAATTGTAGTTACACGTCTAGTCATATCTTTAACATGTTAAATGAGAGAATATACTGTCAAATTATTGTACAGGGTAGTCACGATGTCTTGTGACCCCCATTTAATTAACTAAAACATAGTATTTTTAAATAAAGTTGATTTAAAACAGAAATGAATCTACAACAGAAAAGCAATGCAAGGGTCAATTAATTGAGGGTCACAAGACATCTGGATCACCATGTATATTCAGTACAAGAACGCTGCTCGAGATTACGCTTAAAAACGACGATGGGGAATTCATCCTGAATTTAAATAGTCAATCAAAGATTGAAAACACATTCGTCAAAAAAGAAACTGGCCTTAAAAGAAAACAAATAGAGACTGGCTGGCCATCGAACAAAGACGGCGGTCACCGCATCGCGAGATTTCAGATGCGCTTCTGCGGCCGTCTGGAACGCTCTTCCTTTCGATATTAGGAAGCCACTGGAGCTATGCATTTTTAAATAATCTCGATTGAGAAACTCACTTCTTCAAAACTACTTTTTGTGTTTAGTTTGTTGCCCTTCCCCACACCTCCGATTAGCGCGGGTTGGTTACGTACGGGGTGAAAGAAGTTCAACACACTGTACACACAATGAACGAATTCGTAGCCAGCCTATATGGCACAGACACCGATGTACTCAAATCTGTTGACCATTGCATGATCTTCTTGGCCGCAAGCTGAGAACCCAAATCCGTTCATAATTAATTTATAATTATCCATTCCACGGGCTCTTAATGTTTTAAGTATACCATGAATTATGCATCACAGCACACGACTTAATAACGCTTGTTGATTCAAATGTGCGCAATGGCGTATGCATCCCGTGTGTTTTGCGTGAATATTGTAAGTGTTCATTCACACAGAGCGGCGTCTTTCGGAAGAAGGCCTGCCA